TCTTGGGCAGACATCCCGGTCCCTCCGTCCTACAGGATGGAAGGGCTGCTTCTTAGGGTAGGCTACTGCGCAAGTGCGAGATATCAGGAAGCAGCAGGCAAACAGGCGCCTAGAGTTCTTGCGCAGACTGCCATCGATGTGCCATAGTCACGTGACAGCCACAATTGCGCCCAACGGTAGGTACCAAGCCATTTGGGCCAGAGTCCTGGCCTAGAGCGATTTGGAGCTTTCGGGACCCTCGGCTTTTCACCACACCTACTTCAGCCCCACACTTCACCCCCAGCCCCAGTTCAGCGGCCCTTTCGCTCAGACCCCATCTCTATTCTGGGAACCTAGGACCTCCCCAGCTCACAGACCCTACCAGCACCCTCCAGAGCCTCCTAGCTCTTTCATACTGCAGAGCCTCTCCCAGGCTCAGATTCTGCCCGCAGCCCATGAGTTTCGCTGGAATGCCCACCCTGCCCTAAAACTCCCACTATCACTTCTGACCCCTTGGGCCCCTTGGGCTCCTGGTCTTCTTGTGTATGGCTCCCTAGTCGGGTCTTCCAGACACCTCCTTTCCCATCAGACGCTCCTGAATCCCCTTCTCAACTACACCGCTCCCAAGCTCAGCCAGCCCTATTGGTCTTAGCTTCCACTCTGCCCTCAGGAGCCGATGCATTCGCAGGCCTCACGCTTCCCGGTGGAGCTGGGCTCCGTGAGGGATCAAGATGCCCAGGTGGGCCGTCTGCATCGCCTAGCTCTGGCTGGAGGCCCATGCTGGGGCATGGCCAGGCTCCTGCGCAGAGGTGAGGTTCAGAGTGAGAAAAGAACCAGCCAGCACCATGGAGCGACAACTTCCATTGACCAGTTCCTAACGGGGTGCCAGGGTCCTATGTTGTCGCTGCTACCTGCTGTGTGCCAAAATCTATGGTAGGAATGGGAGATAGGGTGTATCTGGCCTCTGGATCACCGGGAATGAAATATAGTCGGTGGAGAAGGGATTCACTGGGTGTGAAAGGACGTCTCACAGTGAAAGCCATTCTGCAGAAAGGTGGGAGAAGAGACCCTTGGAAGCTGGAGTGGCCTGGGCAGAGTGAACTGGGCATGTGTGTGACCAGCCACACTCGGGGAGAAGAAGCTGAAGAGGTATTGGATCCAGACAGTAAAGAGCCTGAGATCCACTGTTTGATGTTGAGTCATAGGTACTGCCGTAGAGAGAAAGAGAAGCCCACTAAGATGCTAAGCCTTCATTATCCAAAAGAGTAGAAGGGTCCAACCTTCTCAGAGAAGACTGACACCCAGCTAGCTCGCTCTGGTTACTTTATTCAATTACAAGGTTGATTGGGGCAGGGAAAGGTTCCAATTATCAAAGGCATCTTGCCCTGCTGCCCAAGAGAGCAGACAACACACATCTCAGTCCCTTTTGACTAAAGCGTAAGAACTCCAGGTCAGCCAGGAGTGTCTTTGGACCAAGGTCGGTGCCGCTGCCACACTCACGTACCACCGAGAGCAGACTCTCCAGAGAAACAGCTCTTCAAGGTTTATACAGCCTCAAAACAATGTCTCAGCCCCTACTGATTAACCCTAACATAGCAGCAGCTTTGCAGAAACACTTCTCTAAAGCTGGACACAAGGCTTTCCTTCTCTATCGCTGCAAAGATGTGGGGTGTTGTTGGATTTTGTGGTTTGACGGGAACAGGGGTAGAGAATTCACACTCCGATGGGCAGTTTCACAAGTTCCACTGATCTTTCTTTCTTTCTTTCTTTCTTTCTTTCTTTCTTTCTTTCTTTCTTTCTTTCTTTTTTTTTTTTTTTTTTTTTTTTTTTTTTTAAACAGGGTTTTTCTTTGGTTTTGGTTCCTGTCCTGGAACTAGCTCTTTTAGACCAGGCTGGCCTCAAACTCACAGAGATCCGCCTGCCTCTGCTTCCCGAGTGCTGGGATTAAAGGCGTGCGCCGCCGCCACCACCACCCGGCAAATGTGTAGCCCAGGCTGGCCTCGAACTCGTGATCCTCCTGCCTCTGCCTCCTTCAGCAAATCCTACAGACGTGCGCCACCACAACCAGCAAATAGACCACCCCAGATGGGACTCCACTGATTTTTCTAAGCTGATAATCTGACCACTTTCTAAACTTGTTTCATAGCTCTGATTGCTGGCTGTGTCTTAAGTTTTTGTTAGCTAAAGAGAGAAAACAGCCATGATGGTGCACAGCCACTTGCCACTCTAGTCCGCAGGAGGCTGAGGGTGAAGGATAGAGAGTTTGGGAGGAGCCTGTGCTAATGAGACCCTGTCTCAAAAAAAAAATTTTAACTCCCAAACTACTGTTGCCACTTGGCACACACTTTATTTTTTTAGTATTTAAAGAATTAAATCTGTTTTTTGTACTGTCATGCTTGCTGTTGAGATTTTTAATTATAATAATAGCTGGGCGGTAGTGGCCACATCTTTAATCCCAACACTTGGGAAGTAGAGACAGGTGGATCTCTGTGAGTTTGAGGCCAGTATAGTCTACAAGAGTGAGTTCCAGGGGGCTGGAGAGATGGCTCAGTGGTTAAGATCACTCACTGACTGCTCTTCCAGAGGACCTAGGTTCAATTCCCAGCACCCACATGACAGCTCACAATTGTCTGTCACTCCAGTTCCAAGGGATCTGACACCTTCACAACAATGCACATAAAATGAATCTAAATAAATTACTTTTTAAAAAAGAGCAAGTTCGGGGCTGGAGAGATGGCTCAGTGGTTAAGAGCATTGCCTGCTCTTCCAGAGGTCCTGAGTTCAATTCCCAGCAACCACATGGTGGCTCACAACCATCTGTAATGAGGTCTGGTGCCCTCTTCTGGCCTTCAGGCATACACACAGACAGAACATTGTATACATAATAAATAAATAAATATTAAATAAAATAAAATAAAAATAAAAAAGAGCAAGTTCCAAAACAGACTCCAAAGCTACAGAGAAACCCTTTCTCAAAAAACAAAACACTATATATATTTAATTATATATATAATTTTTTAATAATTAGTAATTCCCATCTAAGTTTTCTGAGTTTTTTTCTCCATAATTAGATATAAACACTAAATTTCATCAATTTACTTTTTCTTTTCCTTTTGTATCTTTTGTTTTTCAAGACAAGGTTTCTCTGTGTAGCCCTGGCTGCCCTGGAACTCACTCTGTAGACTGGGCTAGCCTAAACTCACAGAAATCCACCTGCTTCTGCCTCCAAGGGCTGGGAATAAAGGTGTGCACTATCACTGCCCAACTAGTTTCATTTTTTCTGTATCTATAAGGTTAAAATGTGATTTTTTTTTCTTCCCACTGGTGCTAGGGATAGAATTCAGTGACTTATTAATGCCAGGCAAACACTCTGCCACTGAGCCAGGCCCCTAGAATCTCACTGGGGAATTCTAGGCAGGGGCTCTACCACTGAGCCACACCCCAGCCCCTCACTGGGGGATTCTAGGCAGATGCTCTACCACTGAGCTGTACCTTCAGCCCAGGACATATAAATTTTGCCCTTTAATTCATAAAGATCTATTACTCTGACAGGTTTTCTTACATGGAAGAACACCTGCTTTCTGGGGATGAGTTTGAGTTACTTAGGTTTTCGCCTGTGTGATCATAAATGGAATCCATTCATAGTTTTACTTTCTGGTTCTGGAAACTATCATCCAGGTTTGGAATTAAGGCCAGGTGGGCCTCATAAAACAAGCCTCACCCTCTTCGTGTATTTTGGTTTTGGAACTTGTTTGAGATGATCTAGTCCTTGGTGTTTTTGGAAGGTGCCTTCGGGGCACAGGTTGAGAGTGGGAAACCAGTTAAGATGTCTGTGCAGACGATGATGGTTGATGGCTGAGCTGTGAGTCAAGTGTGAGGCAGAGAACGTGGTGCTCAGAGGATCTGGAAGGAGCCACATTTGGCCCTGATTTCACACCTCTGGCCTGGGGAGGATGAATATTATAATGGCTGACAGATGTCTCACCTAATTCTAGCTCTGTGGAGTTACTTCTAGTGCCCCGGGTCGAGGCGCTAGTTCCAGGCCACAGAAATGGAGTCAGGGATCAAAGCATGGGTGGTGCTGCCGTCAAAGCCTCGGCTGGGACAGCACCAAAAGTGGGATGGGTGAAGAAAGGGGAAGAACAGGCCCCAAGCCGAAGAAAAACAGTGGGGGCTGGGCTGGCCGGGAGCCTTTGCCGAGTCGCTGGGGATGTACTCAGCTGATAACATGCTTGTTCACAGTGCTCAGCGCCCTGGGCTGGCACCTCGGCACACACGTAAACTAGTCATGGTAAATCCCAGCACTCAGAGACAGGAGGAGCAGAAGTTCGTGGTCATCCCTGTGTACATACTGAGTGCCAGGCTAGCCTAGAATTCATGAGATGTGTGTTGCCTGGTGGCCAGAGAGACTTCCAGGAGTCTGGAGTGAGCACAGGTTTAGACTTTGCTGTCCCTCAGTTGTCCAGGTAGATGGTGAGAACTCTGCTGGGCAGACAGGGCTCTTCCTGTCCGCACTACTGGGCCATACTTCTACTGTGCGCCTCCTACTGGCCTTCGGCGCCAACCCGAACCAGTGAGTAGACAGGTCCCAGTACCCCTACACTCTCAGGGCACAAATCCCCTTCCAGAGCCTAGTGCCTTCCCTGGCCTCTGGGTTAACCTCTTCTGGCTACCCAGTGACTGTTCTCATTCTGGTGCCTTCCAGAGTTCCCAAAGATCCTCCCCCTCCCACCTGACCCCCCTGAGTTCTCATGTAACCCGCTTCCCAGGACTCCTCCCTTCCACTCAGCCCCCAGTCAGCTCCCTTTTGTGCCTGTCTCCTCCCCTTTCTTCATCCATCCCACCCCTGCCTCTGGTTCTGTCCCAGCCGCTGCCTTGATGGCAGCACACCTGTGCATGCCGGCGCCTTTTCAGGCCGAGGGCTGGTGATGTGGCACCTGCTGCAGGCAGGAGGTGACCTGCGTCTGCGTGACCGGCAGGGTCGCACGCCAAGAGACTGGGCTGAGCAGGGTGATGCCAAGCAGAGCTGGGAGGTGAGTAGTGGCCAGGGTACATTAGAGTCAGCAAGGCCAGCATGGGCGCCCAGTCTCACCCTGTGTCCCACCCAGGTGCTGGAGCTGTTGCGGTGGTGTCGTACCCACATGTCAGCGCTGGTGCAGAGTGGGGAGCTGGCGCCCACTGTGTCCCCGAGTCAATTACAAGCTAGCTCTGGACACAGACTGTGTGGCACCCTGCCCTCACTCAGGCTGGCACGGGCAGACAGGTAACAGTTCACATTCTTGAGCCTCCCGGGCCAGCACACCCAGTGACCCCATGCTTACCCTCAGCCTGCCCTTTATCCCAGGGCACTGAGGCAAGGGCAGATCAGGAGATCCTCCCAAACCCCAGCCTTGGGGTTCGGCCAGGTAAGAAAGAGAGGATGGGAGAGCAGGGACCCCTGCATCCTCTTGGTGCTCAAAGCCCTGCTTTTCCCTCAGCTGAACAGCCTGCGGCCACCGGCACTGATAATGGGCATCCCGCTGGTAGACCCCAAGGAGCTAGTACCAACCCAGGGTGAGCCTGACCGCACCTACGAGAGCAGTTCTCATACCCTCATGGCCAAGTGAGAGCCCCTTCCGTGCCTTGAGAGCCCCTGCCTCCTGCTTCCCTCACAAAGAAATCCTGCCCATGTCACTCACCTGCTGCCCATTCTCCAGCCTCCTGTGGAAGGGCCACCCTGTTACTGTACGTCAGCTGAAGACCCCGGAAACCCGCCCTGACGTGCTACTGGCTGACCTTCAGCACTGCAGGTTACCAGTCCCAGCTGACCGCTGGCTCCAGCAGTCCACAACCAAGAGGATGTGGTACTGGCCATGGTTGTAGTTAAGCGTTGTCTCTGGGCTAGCATCCCAAATGGAGCCAGCCCTCCAGCTGTAATGACACCCTCCCTAGAGTGGTACCCAGAGAGGAGGGAGGGATGGGAGGGGACTTGGGCAGATATGGACTGGGGCTGACCTGTCACTGCTAGGCTGTGATGGAGGGTCTCCGTGTTTTCTGCATGGTGGCTGGTGAGACAGTCTTCCCCCGGCTCATGGTAGGTGGCCTGTGGCCAGAAGCAGCCCTCACCTTGAGCAGGTGGGGGACATTCTGAAGGACCCGCTCTGCTCCCTCCCAGCATCCTGCACCACCCTGGCCTTCTGCTGCTGATGGCAATGAGCCCCTCAGAGGACCTGTCCGGACTCAGCCTGCTCTTTGAGCCCGTGTGTCTGGGCTCCCTTTATACCCTGCTGCACTCAGCAAGAGCGGTTGAGGAGGGTCCCCGAGTGCTGCCAGGCCTGCGGCCCAGCTCCCTGCTGCTCCAGGTGGTGGAGGCCCTGTTGTTCCTGCAGTCCCGCTGCTGGGCCCATGGCGGCCTCAGTTCTCATGCTGTGCAGCTAGTGCGGCCAGGCCTGGTTAAGGTGAGCCACCTAGAGCACGGGCGTCCGCTGAACCAGCCCAGGCTGCAGCCCAGGTGAGAGCCTGCCCCCATGTCTGCCCTATCTCCGTCCTGGCAGCCACTAGCTCACCAGACCTTTTGACCTCCCCAGGCAGCAACGGGACTACCCCCAGGGAGACCCAAGTCCAGGGCTTCCCCCACCCCCTGAACTGTACCCATGGCTACCACTTGAACTGATCCGTGGTGACATGCCAGCCCCTACCTCAGACCTCTACAGCTTCTGCATCCTGGCCCAGGAAGTCTTCACTGGTCAGTGGCTCACCCTACACTTCCTGCCCACCCTGGAAACGTAGCACTAGTGTGGGTCTCCTCATGGTCCTTCTTCACAGGAGCGCTGCCGTGGGCTGGGGGAGAGGGACTGGAGGTGAAGGCAAAGCTGGAGGCAGGTGAGAGCCCGGCCCTGGACCCCTTGCTGCCAGCCCCTTATCAAGCCTTGGTTCAAGCGGGGCTGGGCCTAGAGCCTGCTGACCGCTGGGGCAGCTTGCAGAGCACTCACTACCTATTGCGAAAGGCCATGGCCAAGGTACAGGAAGGTCAGAGTGGCTTGGGTACTTATGGAACCCCAGGGAGGGCCCATGTCATCACATCTCACCTCTTTCTATAGGACTCAGAACCCAAGGTCAACTCCCCAGCAGAGTGGACAGCACTGTCTCCTGTAACCCTGGGGTCCCTGCCAGGTTAGAGGGTACAGATGATGATGGGGTGTTTTGGACACTGTGGAGGTGTGCATAACTTTCAGTCATCTGCTCTGTATTCCCAGAGCATCTGTACCGTGAAGTGACCCCCAGGGCCAAGGCCAGATCAAGGCTTGTGCTCCCTTTCCCAGACCCTTCCCAGGTAGGAAACAGAAGAATGATCAGTAACCAAAGGAGGTGTGGGGACCCGGACAACCATGCTAGTTCCTTGCCTTTGTTTTCTATAGGCCCTGGATAGTTCCGAGGTCACAGATCGCAACAGAGTCCAGCAGAATGCAGCCTGGGACTCGGGCAGCAGCTTGACTCTAGGCAGCAGCTTCAGTCCCAGCTCCAGTCTACATCTGGACCCCAGCTCTGGTGTGGGCCCCAGTCCCAGCCCCAGCAAACACTGTTGCCCGGAATCCATCTCAATAGTACGGATACCCCTACTCCATTACTAACCTGCACCCTAGCCTCTGACCTGTGATTCCCTGAGCAGCCCACCAGCCTTGTGGAGCAGCTTCCCTGCTGGGGACCCAGAGCTCTGAGGAGCAGGGTGAGAGGAAGTTCTGTCAGGACCCAAACTCTGCAGGGACAGCTGTGGCACACACGGGACTGCTGTCCTGGACCCCCACCCATGCATGCTGACAAAGAGGCTTCACTGCCCAGAGCGCTGCTGCCAGGGAAGGCCATGAGTAGAACACCCAAAGCCCCAGGCTCTGAGCCTCCGTGGCAGCTGGTGGCACCTTGCCCTTTCTTCCCACAGAAACCTGATAGTGAGGAGAGTGAGCTGACGGAAGGCAGTTTCTTCTCCCGGCTACAGGAGTGAGATGCACAGGCTGTGGTGGGCGGCCACGGGCCCCTCCCTCACCCTGAGCTAAGCCCAGGTCTGTCTGCCCTATTGCTGCCCAGGATGGATCTGCTGGAGGAGATCATGGCAGAGCTGCAGAATAAGTGCCACCTTGAAGACACTCCCAGGCTGAGCCCCACTCTTAACCCAGACTCGTAGGGTGCCCACAGCTCTTCCTGCAGACATTACCCTGGGAGCCTTCCCAGGACTGACCCCATTCCTCAGTGTCTACCTCAAAGGAAAGAAAGTCCCCGGTTTGTCTCTTCATTCAGTGGCTCCAGAAGTCAAATTTTTGCCATTTTTATTTATTAATGTTGTCAGGTGGTTTAGTGGGGTGCGTAGGGAGAGGTGGGCAGGGACTGTCTCCCCACCCTGTGCACAGAGCAGCAAGGGCTGGAGGCTCCTGGAGGGAGGAGGAGGACAGGGTATCAGCCATGTTCCACCACTCCCAATTTGTGCAAGGGCCCCAGGAGGGAGGTGGGGGAGGTCACACCCTGCAACTCAGGGTACGGACATGATGATTTTGGGTTAGGGACCCACATCAGAGCAAGTTACAAAGTTAGAAACCTGGAGTGGGGTAGCGGGCTCAAGAAAATACAAAACAAAGGATTGACTTGGACCAAGATCCAATGTGGGGAGGGTCCTTTCTTGGCCCTAGCTCAGCAGTAACTTCTGGTCTGTCCTTCGGAATGTAGGGACCAGCTGGGAGTGGGATAAGGAGGAGGGGGACCAGCCCCCTCTCCTCTATGTCCTCCATTTCTGTACAAGGATCCTCGAAGTTCGCCTCCCCTCCCATAGGCTGGTGGAGCTGCCCTATAGAGCAGGAGAGGCTCAGGGGAGCCCCAAGGTCCAGGTACCCGATGTGGGGTACGGGGACCCCAAGGAGCCCGCTGCTTCTGGGGGAGGCGGGGAACAGGGGGCCCAGGATCTGACCGGCTTCGGGGGTGGGCAGGAGGAGAGGAGGAGGAGGAAGAGGCAGGTGATGAGCCCCTGGGCCCTAGGGCTAGGTTGACATAGAGGGGCTCAGGCCGGGTAGGGCGCCGGACAATGTGCTGAGAGACTGAGTGGCTAAGATGGTCAGGTGGAAAGCAGGAGGGAGGCGGTGGGTAGCTGAGCAGGAAGTCAGGGGACCTGTGGAGTGGTGGTGACTGGCCAAGCATGCCATATGAGGCATTGAGCCTGTCGGGAGGCATGGAGCGAAATGGACTCCAGGGCTGGCTGGGGCCAGAGTAGGAGGTCCCCTCCCCTGCCCCGATCTCGTAGTACAGATTGTCTCCCCTGTCAAGTGCTGAGGAAGCACCCAGAGAGTTCCTCCAGACTGGGGCCGGGGAGCTGGGTGGGAATGATGGGGGACCCAGGGAGTACAAGCCTTGTTTGGGGATCCCAAGGAAAGGTGGCAGACACTCCCGGGGGGCTGAGAAGAAACTGGGGTTAGAACCCTGTGAAGGGACAGAACATGGGGACTGGGCTGTCATCTCTGGGGCATCCCTGTAAGCCCCACCTGCCCTAATCTGGGCACTGACATGGGAAGGGCCTCTGGGACCCCTCCTTGAGGTCCCCAAGGGCCGCTGGCTTCTCATCAGGCTCCCATCACTTTGTTGTCTTGGGAGGTAAGGTGGAGGACCTGGAGCCCAGGCATCTGGGTGGGCTAAGGAGGGAGGGTGTAGTCCACTCCCTGAAGTCCCCAAAGGCTCCCCACCCACCTCTAGGGATAGTGAGCGACGAAAAGGGGAGTGGGGAGCAGGTGGGGTGCCCCCCTGCTCTTGTTGGCTCTGTTGCTCTGCCACCTGCTGAGCCCTCTCAGCCAAAGCCAGGGCCATGAGACGAGCTGGGTTCTTGGGGGGTGGGGGTGGAGCCCCACCAGGGCGCAGTAGAGACAAGGGTGGGGGCAATAATGGTGAATCCATGCCAGGACCTACAATACAGAAAGGAATAGAAAGGGGGTCAGCTGGGTCCTGGGACAGTTTGGGGACTGGGTGTGAGATCTACTGAATAAGACTCACTGTACTGGCCTGGAGCTCCCCGGGGACCTGCTGGTGCTAGCTTACTGCTGATCTCCTGCTGACAAGTGTCACTTAGCTGGGCCTCAGCTCCACGCAGCAGCAGAGGGATGAGATGGGGGCGCAGGCCTGGGTTAGGGCTCAGAGCTGGTGTTGGGGTGACTGAGGCAGGTGTTCCTCCAGCCCCCAGCAATTCCAGGACAGCAGGTGGCACTGATACAGCCAGTGGCTCTGAGATGTCCAGGGCAGTGGGCGAAGCAGGGTTGGTGGGTCCATGGGGTGACAGGGCTTGTGGGGTTGCCCGAGGTGGGAAGGCAGAGGCAGAGGCTGGAGGTGCTGGGCTGGCAGGAGGTGCAGGGTCCCCTGGGGTAGGGCTGCTGCAGCGAAAGGTAAGGGGATCAAAGTCGAGTCCCCGGAGCCCTTCCAGACAGCGGGGAGGACTGAAATCCAGCTCATCGCCATCATCTAGCCAGGCTGATGTGCGGTGTGAGGGGGACCCAGAGAGTGGCCCCAGGCCAGCTGCTGAGGACTCTGAGGAGGAGGACGAAGATGAAGATGACGAGGAAGAAGAGGACAGGCTCTCACATGAGCCAGCAGGTGCTGGGCCCACAGGGAAAGCATCACTACTGGAATGAGGTCGTCGCAGCCGGTGCAGCCTCTGGAGGCCTGTTGGGAGGGGGCAGCACAGAGGTGAGAACCTTACAGACCAAAAGACCCCTTGAGGACTTGGCAGAAACCATGTGAAAGGAAGCAGAGCTCCCTAGAGGACGCCTGACTCAGAAAGAGCTGTTCAGAACATGAGTGGTTATGAACTAGTCCAGATCCAGAGCGAGGGTGTCATCCAGTGCATAGCTATGAAGCATGAGCATGGCAGGCTGTCACACACTCTGTAGGGTGTCCAGATGGACACCCGCCCTGGAAAACCACTGGCTGTTCTGATGCTGTGAGCGTGTGCTGAGCCCACACAGCAGCAGCTTCATTCACTCCTGAGCATCACGCAGAGCCTGCTCACTAGGAGTGTGACAGGATTGCTGACAAGAACCACCAAAGCCATTGGGTGGAGAATGGTGAACACAAGACACACACACATATGCACACACAGAGAGAGAGAGAGAGAGAGAGAGAGAGAGAGAGAGAGAGAGAGAGAGAGAGAGCGAGCAGTGGGAGGAGCTAAGTTGCACTGGTCAATGTAGATGGTGGTCTGGTTGTGTGTTCTAAAAATCAAGCAGCATATGCAGTCTGCCTCCCACTTCCCATGTTGCCCACACATGGATCAGAGCAACTGGAACTGAGCAACAAGGCTTTCACATAGACACCTGCAGGGGCGTGAGCCTCCAGAGTGAGGGATGATGGCTGTCAAGAGGATGCCTCTGGTCAGGGGCAGCAGCAGGGAGGCACTCCCAGGTAAGTTATGGGGACTCTTTTAATTGCATCCAGAGTGTTTGGGGATGTTGATAACATTACCTAAGTATTTTCAAAAGGAACGACTAAACAAAAGACCCTGTATGAACTAGTGAATGCAGTGTGTATCGTCAATAGCAATTTATATCTAAGTCGTACCTTAGACTTATCTAGCTTACGCCTGAGGCCTTGGTTTTAAAAGTCTAAATCCCTTGCTCGATCTGGTGACTCACACATGTAATCTCAGTTCTTAGGCTCAAGACAGTTAAGAGTTGTGGGGCCAGCCTGGACTATACAGGCCAGCCAGAACAACATTAGCAAGACCCAGCCTTAAAACCATAACAAAATCTCCTAAAACAAACAAAACAAACCCAAGGCCCTCTCCTCCAATCTGAAGTACAACATTTAAAGGTGAAACCAGGGCCTTGATTCCTCCTAGCTCAACTTGGGCACATGTAGGGTCCACACTATGCTCACCAGCCCCGCTGGCCTGCGATGACAGAGACTCCTCACTTTTGGCAGATCTCAGTGTGACAGTGTCAGGTCTGCTACCTGTAGGGAGAAGAGAAGTCACCGGCCTCTCCAGTACTATAGCCACTCACGTCACCCACACAGCAAGGGCTCAGCCTCTGACCTGTAGGCTGTGGTGCAGCCCGGCTGCCGCCCAGCCAGGGCAGGGGCTTCTTCCGGGGTATGCTGGGGCCCCGCCCCAGAGCAAAGAATGTCTTCCAACTGCTACCCCCTGGCTTCCGTTGTTTCTCTGCTCTCTCTCTTTTCCTTCTGGAGTTTGGGTGAGAGAGAGCAGGCAGTTTGAGAAACCAGGGCTCCCAGCTACTCTTCCCTCTCCAGCATCACATGCATACCTTTCCACTGGTGAGGCTGGGGTCTTGGGAGTTGTGGGCTCAGTAGGCGTTCCAAGACGGCCCTGGGTGCGTGCCTGGGCTTCCTCCAGTGTCAGCAGGCGAGTGGAGGGACTGCTTCCCGCAAGGGACTTAGGTCTGGGAAGGAGGCAGCGACCTGGAGAGGTCCGAAAGGGGACAAGTATAAGCTTTGGGCCACTTGAGACTACAGGCAAAGCCAAGCGCCACAGCCCAAGCCCCGGCCCCGCAGCGTGCCCACCCGGGCTGGCAAGGCAGGGGCCGGTGTAGATCAGGCGGGAATGGGGGGGCAGCAGGCAGGTAAGGAGGAAGGGTGAGGCAGAACGAGCTGATGAGAAGGCAGCTCCCAGCAGCCAGCAAGGGCAGTGGCTCTGGTCAGTTACCTCGGGCCAGAGGGCCCTCCGACGAGCAGAATCCTGACTGGGCTGGGGTCCGGGGCAGGGCAGGGAGTCTGGGCAGGGCCAGGGTGGGGTCAAGTCTGGGGACCTCCCACCTCCTCCCAGGTGGACCCAAGGCCCCAAGGGCCCCCCGGAGCTATAAGGGGTGAAGGAAGAACGGCGTCCTGGCCAAGAAGTGGGGATCCTGGGCGTAGGAGCTGAAATGAGAAGGAGGGGGGGCGCGGGGAGGGATGGGCCAGGGTGGGGTCCTCAAGGAGCTGGGGGGGAGGTCTAGTCAGTGGAGTAAGGGTAGGGCCAGGAGCCCACCTGCCCTCCCACTGCAGCCCTGACAGAGCCTGACACTGAAGGGCAGTAGCCAGGATGCCAGCGGATGGACTGGACATACCTGCAGGGTCCAGGCCAGCAGAGGTGAAGGTATCACTGAACAGGACCTCCACGTGGGTGAGCAGGAATTCCACCACCACCGACTGCACCCGGACCTCACGGAAGGCTGCTGCCCCGCCCAGCCCCACTGACTCCAGCTCCATAGACCTGGAGGCAGGGCAAGTAAGGCCACATACCTTGAGCCTGATTGGCAGTGTGTGGTGCCAACTGCAGAGACCACTGTCCTTCCAGCCTATACCTCTGCCAGTCTTGAAGTGACAGCAGCTAGAAATGGGCTTTCAACTCTTCCCAGACCTGTTCCCCCCCCCACCTCCTCTACCTCTGTCAGTCCTGAGCACCCACATTCAATCTGTCAGTAAACCACCACTGCACCTGGACCTCCGAAAGTCTGTTCAGATTCTAACACACCCCTTCTGCCCCATCCTGTTTGGTACAGTTCAGGAAAGTATCCCCAAAATGTCCACACAGTAAAGACTTGGTCCCCAAGGTGGGGATTTAGGAGGTGGGACCTGGTGGAACCTTTATGTCACTAGAGGCATGCTCTCAAAGACAATCATGGGGTCCTGGATCTCCCCTAACCATTCCTGTGTCCTGTGAAGTTTTATTCTACCACATACTACCACCATGTTACCCTGTCACAAACCCAAAGACCACATGGAGTCAGTTGATTGTGGAATGAAATGAGACTGTGTTTCAAAACAAACGCTTCCTCTTTAGAAGCTAACTGCTATGGGTATTTTGTTATAGTTACAGAAAAGCTGACTGATGTAGTCCAATCTCCATTCTCATGTGGACGTCCTGCTCTGTTCCTTCCCCTGCTCAACACACTGTCCTCAGACTGTTAGGCTTTCCCAGCTTAGAGGCCTGCCTTGGCTATACTTCAACCCACAATGAAATCTTCACTATGACCTCTAAGTCTGGTCTCCTCTCATCTGTGACTTGGTCCTCTGCTCCCTGCCCTTGCTCTTTCACTCAACTGCAGCCCAACAAACGTCCCTGGGATTCCTTCTAACCCCCAGGTCCATATCTGCCTCAGGTTTGTACTCTGCTCCCTCTGTAATCTGATTCTCCCCAGATACTCTCGTGGATCCCATGTTGGTCTTTACACAAGTGTTATTTTACACAAGTGAATGGAGTCTGCCCCACTGAAAGAAGCTTACCGTAGCAGGTTGGGTGCCCAAACAATGGCCAGGTTGCGGGCATGCATGCTGGTGTTAGCACTGTGTCTTGCCATTCGGGCCAGGTGCCTCAGCAGGTACTCTAGGGTCCTGGGGGCAGAAGTCATAGCAGACAATTGCTCACCTCAGTTCCCTGCACCCCTACTGTAGTCCTTCTTGACCCTGCCCATTTACCTGTAGTGTGGAGGGGGCAGCTGCTGGATGACATCGTGTACTCGCACCAGGCGTTCTTCCTCTCCAGGCACTGACATGGCCTCCTGCGATGATGGACAGGCATGATGGTGCTGGGCCATATGCAGCTGGCCCCTCTGCCCTGGCCAGTCCCTTTACTCACGCTGAACTTCCCATAGAGCTGGTAAGTGAGCAAGGGGTTGGGCAGCTCCCGGAAGTAGAGCTTGCACAGGGAGGACACACTGTGGATATCTTGTAGGAAGGCAGGGCCAGACAGCTCGGGGATCCTCTCGCTATCAAACTCATGCCTGAGAATCACCAGATCAAGGAGAAGAAGGTGTGTTAACCTGGTTCATCAGGTCATGACCCCTACCCCAACCTACAAGTCTCACAGATGGATGCAACACTCTACCCCAGGCCCTGTGCAGGGATCCAGAAGGAAAATCTTACTGAATCTCCCAATGACCCTGAGTGGCAAAGACAAGGGAGCAATTTTAGAAAGGGGAGCATTGAGGCTCATGTGTAAGATGCCTCTGCTACTTCAGGCCAACTCCAAAGTCTAACTATGCTCCTGCCATAGGCCACATGCTGTGCCATTCTCAGGGCTTTAAGCAGTCCCTGGGAAATGAAGGCACCAATAGCCCCTGCTCACTACTCTGTTGACTGTCTGCTGCTCACAGGGAAAGCCTTTCCCCTCTGCGATTCCACCCAACTCACTGCTCCCTCAACTCTCGCCTGCAGTCTCTGCTGGCCCCTGTCCTTGCCACATTCTTTCCCACTTTTATGCCTCCTTGGCTCAGAACCTTCTGGTGTTTCCCTTAAATGAAATCCAAATTCTAAATCATCCAAGTGGCACTGTACAAGTGGAGCTGGGGTGTGGCTCACTGATAGAGTACCTGCCTAGAAACCCCAGAAGGGCTAGGAGCATGGCTCAGCAATGGAGTGCTTGCTTAGCATGCACATAGTCATCCCAGTACTGAAGTGCAAGAAGCCCTGCATGTGCTGCCTGGGTGAGTCTCCCTACTGTCTCCACTGCTATACCCCTGCATGGCTGCTGCCTCCACCACGGGCACTTTTAATAGGATATTGCCTGCTCTCTCACCTCTTTCCCATGAGGTCTCCTCCTTCTTCCACTACTCAAGACTATGAGCTCTCCATCCTGGTTTTCTTTTGTAGTGGTGGTGTTTTGTTTTGGGTTTTGGGAAAGTCTCTTACATAACTCCAGCTGGCCTAGAACTCCCTACGTGGTCAACTATGACCTGAATGCCTGATTCCCCTACCTCTACCTCCCAAGTGCTGTGATTCCTGGCATAGCCAACTATTCCTTGCTCTTTCTCCTTGTTTATTTTGGTCCTCATTAGCCCAAATCTATTTTTCTCCACTACAACTGTAGTACCTCAGCCATCTTGTTTGTCCCTCAAGGCCTTCCAGGTGTGTCATTTACTGTGGTGCCCCCAGCCCTAGAGTCAGTCTTGGCATGTGGTAGGGTCCATGGAGCTGACCCTCTGGGGATGCTACTTTTACTCTCACTGTCCAGCGTTGGCCTGGCTGTCACCTCCTCAAGGAAGCCTCAGGTCACCATTGCACCATGCCTTCCTAACTCCCAACAAATATGACCCTGACATGTAGCACAGGGCTGGGACAGAAGGTGCTAATAAATGTAGGCTGTGTGTGCTCACCGAAGCCTCTGGATGTTGGAGGACACGCCTGAGAGCCGGTAGATTCCATCCACCACACCATGGGCCTCAATGAACTCGGAGCAGCATCGCAACACTTGGGGCACTGGGAGAAAGAAGCAGTGTCAGGACCAGAGCTGCAGCTGAGGCAGGATGGGTGAGAGATCCCAGGCCTCACCATCCTGGCCTGAGTTGCTGAGGTGCTCTCCAAGATCACAACCGAATACCCTCTGCCGCAGGATTCCCCGTTGGCGCAGCCGCTGGCGGGAGGGTCGAGAGCGCATGAAGGTGCGGAGGAGCCCTGCCAGCTTCCCACGTGGCCGAGGCACAGCTGTGGGGGCAAAAGCAGACCACTTAGAGTCAGGAGCACAAATGATTAGGTGGGGCCAGAGGCAGAGACCTGATCCCTTGTTTGCATTACCTGAGGTCAAAGAAGAGATACCCTGAGGAGCTGGGATGCCACACAGGGGACTGTCAGCGTCTGTGGGGTGGATAATTGTAGAGAGGACAGGTGGTAGGCAGAGGGTGAGGGGACTGCCCACTCTCCTTGGTACTCACCTGCCTTTAGGCCAGGGCCTGGCCTCTCTGTGAAGAGCTCCACACACTCACTGGGGAAGAAACCAACCTGAGGAAGGACCACAGTCAGTAGCTGGGGCACCCTGGTGGGCAATGTGCCCTACTGCACATGTCCACCTCACCCAGCTCACCTGAAAACCCCGTTTGCCCCGCCACCAGCTCCGATCCTCTGTAGGTGGCATGTCGATCACTGAGACAATGTCTCCCACCTGGGAATGGGTAGAAGAAGGGGGTTCAGGAAAGGCAGGAGAAACAGAACATGGGTAGAGGCCATTGCTGTCAAGTCTCACCTCAAAGGACAGCTCATCTGGTGCCTGGGCAGTGTACCGCTTGACCACGTGGGCGGCAGCCACAGCAGGAATGTTGAGAGAGGCCTCTTCACTGAGGAGTAGGCGCCGGCCATGGTTGTCCAGCTGAGACAGAGTCAAAATTTGGCAAGGGGAAGTCAGAGCCATCAGTAAAGTCACACAAGCCTCCTCTATGTCCAGTGAGGCCACCACTTATCTATCAGAGTAGCTGTCAGTCAGAACCATAGTCCAAACACATAGATTCTTTTTGTTTACTTGTTTTTTTTTTATTTGTTTTTGTTTGTTTTTTTCAAGACAGGGTTTCTCTATGTAGCTTTGGAGCCTGTCCTGGACCTCGTTCTTTTGACCAGGCTGGCCTCGAACTCACAGAGATCCGCTTGCCTCTGCCTTATGAGTTCTGGGTTCTGGGATTAATGGTAAACAACCACCACCTGACCAAACACCTAGATTCTTATTGCCTCTAAAAAAAAAAAAAAAAAAGGCTGGTGAGACGGCTCAGCAGTTAAGAGTGTTTGCTAGAGGACCCAGGTTCAGTTCTCAGCACCCACATGGCAGCTCACAACTGTTTGAGACTCTAATTCCAAGGGAGCCAGGCAATGGTGGCACACGCCTTTATTCCCAGCACTCGGGAGGCAGAGGCAGGCAGATCTCTGTGAGTTCGAGACCAGCCTGGTCTACAGAGCTAGTTCCAGGACAGGCTCCAAAGCCACAGAGAAACCCTGTCTCAAAAAAACAAAACAAAACAAAAAAAAAAATCCAAGGGGATCTGATCCTTTTATCCAACCTCTACAGTCACACATATGGTGGACACACATACAGCCAAACACTCACCCACATGAAATTAAAAAAAAATTAAAGGGGGCTGGAGAGATGGCTCAGAGGTTAAGAGCACTGCCTGCTCTTCCAAAGGTCCTGAGTTCAATTCCCAGCAACCACATGGTGGCTCACAACCATCTGTAAAGAGGTCTGGAGCCCTCTTCTGGCCTACAGACATACAAACAGAAAAAAAAATAAATAAAAAAAAAATAAATAAATATTTAAAAAAAAATTAAAGCCAACAAAATAATAACAGCAAGAAAAAAAGTTGTCTCTTCTTCCCTACCCCAACTTGTCCCAAGACTTCCCTGTCCCCAAAACCCCCACAGATACCTGCACCTTCATCCTTCATAGCAGACACTGGCATTTTGTCCATTAAATTCATTAAGTTTATGTCACTGTCAGCCAGATGTACTGTGAGTCACAGCAACACACTTCTAACTAGTATACCTTTAAATCTCCACAGCCACACAACTACACACACACACACACACACACCCCTACCTTTCTCTCACAGGCATGCACCCACACAGATACTAAAATAATATCAATGCCTCCTCCCCTCTGGCTTCCTTCTTTTTCTGTGCCCACACACTCTAGGCTGCTTCTTGTGCCTCAGACACTTCTCACTAGATCCTAGCTCCAGCTTCTCCATGCCAGGCCCACCTCCATCCAAGTGAGCACAGGCCCACAGTTGAGGTTACTGTCCACCAGTCCTGACAGGGTCTCCAGGTACTGCAGCAGCAATGGTACCAGCATCTGGGAGCAAATTGCCAAGGATGACTCCTGTGAATGGATGAGGACAGAGCCCACTCCCCTCCAGCAGGACCCAAGCTCATCTCTCAGCAAGGCTGAAATCCAGCCCGGATGCCTGGGCGTGGCTCAGCTGTTAGCTTCTGAAAAGCCCTCATATCACACTGAGCTGAGCTTTGGAGTGGAACTGATGTGGCCGTGCTGGCCTGTGAACCCTTGAACCTTCCCATAACCGCCAAACCAAAGGGGCCCTCTAGTCTCCTGTCCTGTTTCTAAGGCTTCTCCATTCTGATTGTTGGAACTCAGATCGTACCACTGGAACCTTCCAAGTGCTGAGATTACAGGCTCACACCAGCACGTCCTACTCAAGAGATCTGAACTATTTCCCTCGCCTTGCTGGCTGTACACATGGCTGATGAGGACACCCTTGATGGCTCAGGCAGGGACTGAGACAAGCGGGTTACCTGGGCAGCCCTGGCACCCTCTGGGGGTGGAGGGAGCTCTGGGAGACAGGAAAATCTCCGGTCAAATATGCACCGGTGGAGATGGGCATCCAGGGAACGGAAATCATCATAGCTCCGGAGAACTGGCCAGGAGCGACCCTGTGGGAGCAGTCAGGACAGAGAGTACAGACTCCATTACACAGAGCTGAAGACTACAGTGACTAGTCCCTCAGGCTAGATGAGAGGCAAGGGCAGCCTCACCTGACAGGTCACCTGTACTCCAAACACCAGCTCATTTTCTCCAGAGAGGCTGGGGCCTTCACGCTCTGGAGACAGCAGGAGCTGCAGAAAGAAGCACAAACCAAAGAGAGGGCTTCAGTTTTGTCCCAGACCTAACCTTTCTTGGCTGGGACTATCTAGGGGTAGATCTGGTTCCCCTCTTGGACCTCCACAAGGACAAGGCCTGGCAATACCACTGTCTGGGAACAGAGCCCTGGCGTGGAGCAGGTGCCTAGCAAAAGACTGCTGTGGAAGAATACAAAGAGTTAAGTGGCGGATGGGAGAGCAGCCCTTCCAGTCGGCTCGCCTCTATTCCTGCTGGTGTCTGCTCAAACATGAGGTGGCCAGGACTCAGGGATGTGCTTAGGGACAAAGTGGCTTGCCAGCAGTTCACCTTCCCACCTGGGTAGAAGTTCCCTTACCTGAATGTGGCCAAAATCAACATTCTCATAGTGGAAGTGGGCACAGTCAGCCAGCCGGGGGAAGGGACCTCGAGGAGCTGAGAGCCTGGGAGAAAGGCAAAGTATCAGCTACAGTTCTCTCCTGGAGCTCCCCTCCCTCCTAGGATAAGCCCCTTGGCACTATCTCACCTCTTCCCGGGCTTCCCCTTTGCACCAGCCCCCCCTGAAGGGGGTACAGGCTGCACTGAGCCCTCCCCTGGGCCATCCAGACTGTCAGTGCTACGGGCCTGTAAAGCAGAAAGAAGAATCAGAGGCCCCCAGAGATGGGAGCAGGACAATGGGAGCTTTGTTATCTGCCAGCCTGGGCCTTGAGCCTTGGAGGCTCTACACATTGTCCGGCAGCAGGGGCAAAAGGGTAGGTCAACAGATGAGTGCTGGGCTGTAGCGAGCCTGCTTCTTCGTGTGTGGTCTGGGATGAAGGCTGGAGGTGCAGGGACCAGGGGTGAGCAGGTAACAGAAGCGAAAGCATGCTGGTCCTGTCTGTGCGTGTTCAAGACTCTTCTGTAGCCACTGCAGGGTACAGTCACTTGCCACTGTCTGGACTTCACAGTCCACATCTCAGTAATCTGCTCCCAACCTCTCCCCTCCTGCCAGGCTGGCTTTCACTAAGTACAAGCGTGACTGTTTTCCTAGATTCCGCTCCAATGATTCTCATGCATTCTAGATGAAGTCGGAATTCTCAGGTCTGGCAGTCAAGCTTCCTTGAGCTGGGTGCTGTTTGCCTCTACCCCCCATTCTCAGAACTCTGACTTTTCAGAACACAAGTGCCACCTTCTCATTTTCCTTCTATGCCTTTGAAAGGCTGTTCCTCAGACTGGAACCTACTTCACCCACCCAGTCACCAGGTTCTCTCCTCTTCCTTCTTCAGGTCTCACCTCATGTGTGTTGCTCCAGAAAGCCCTCTCTGTCCGTTTAGGCTGTTACACACCTTTGTCTCCATCCCCTGGGCTTCCTCCATCCCAGGCTGCACAGCTATACCTAAGCTTATCCATCTCGTTCTTAAACGCCTCTGGCGAGAAACTCATCTTTCCCATTGGACTCCGACCTCCCCTGAAGCAGGGCCCCAGGCTGGGACCCCCAGCGGGCCCGAAAGAGTTGGGCAGAGTTGGAACTGTATATTGCTCTCTGGGTCCCTGATATACCATGTGCATAGACGGGGCAACATCTGATAAATAAATTAAACCAGCTGCCAGATGGGGATTCAGGGATTTGCTAGACTGGGCTTTTCCCTCCTCCATGTCCCTGCAACCCCGAGTTCATCCCTGGGTCTCACCCTCAGAGTCTGTCCCCTGCCAGCCCATGAAGTTCCCCAAGGCAGGATGTGATCTGACTGTTTCTGTGCCTGGAGCATGGGGCCTGCACAGAGGAGGTCTCAGTGAATGTCTGTGGAGTGAGGGAATGAATGGATGAATGAACGGGAGCAGTATGGTGGGAAAGGGAGACATGGAGGAGGGGAGATGAAGACAAGAAGATGGAGAAACCCCCAAGGCTCAAGTGGAACGGAGGCACGGTGTTGGCCTCTAGGGTAGAGGAAGGCGGGAGAGGATGAGATAAAGGTTCAGATCGATGTCTGTGGGAGGATTGAGAGCGGATGGAGTGGGCTGAACAAGAAGGAAAAGGAGAAGAAAAGGGTCAGGCAGGGGATGGAGTGGGATGGGGGTGGGGCTCTGGAACGAGCAAGGGGCTGTTGGGAGCGGGAGGTGGTGGTCGGGAGGGTGGCTGGGGGATGAGGATGCTGAGGAGGGCGCCGGGATGGGGGCTGGTTTCCAGGAAACCTCAGCAGGCGCCTTCGGGGTGGGGAGAGGGTGCAGTTCACGGGACTGAACCAGCCCCCTCTTTTCTCAAGTCCGGGGTCCTCCACCACTGTCACCCCCTTTTGCAGGACTCGGAACTGGGGGGGAGGAGATGCGCACTGAGGGGGCGGGGTCGAGGCCCGGGCTGCGACCCAGGACCGGACCGAGGTGGGGACCATAGGAGACCACGAAGGAGGGTGAGGGGCAGCGGGCGGGCCGCGGGCTCGGGCGGGGCCGGGGGCGGGGCGCGCAGGGCGGGGCCGCGCGGACAGACGGGCACGCGGACAGACAGACTGATGGCCTCGAGGGCCCCTCACCACCATGGTCGCGGTAGCCTCCTCAGACCCTGGCGGCTTTCGAGTCCTCGTTCGTAATCCTCGCCGCCGCCGCCATGGTGACACAAAGGGGAGGGCGTGAGGTGCGCGCGGGCGGCCGCAGGCCCCGCCCCTAACGGCTGCCCGAGGGCTCTGGCGCGCGCCCCACGAGGGGCGGGCCAGCGGGCACGCGGAGGCCCTTTTCATTGGCTCCGATTTTGGCCTGTGGGGTACGCCCCGCCTATAAGACGGTTGTTTATTGGCTTGGGGTGAGGCTCCACCCTCCAAGGCCCTCCCCCCTTCGGTCCCGCCCACCGAAGTTTGACAGCGCCACGCCCACGGCTGCTTGGCATTGGCCGTCAGCGCCCTCCTGAGATACAAGCCCGTGTTCTTTATGCTCCGCCGCTGCCACCGTCCCTAAGCAGTTCGCCCTAATCCGCGGTGCGCGGTGGCTCCTTGGACATGCATCCCTCAAGCAGCCTTTTCGAAGTGTGTGTCTTCCAGTCTCCACCCTGTCAGTCCTGATCCTGACCCCACCCACAAGCTTTTTGATCAAGCACATCCAGCTTGTGTTAGCACCCTATCCTCTGGACATTTTCCCTTGTTTCCCCACATCTGCTTCTTACAGGGTCAGCCTCTAGTCTTTAACTCCTTTTTCTGGGAAAAGCTTCCGTATGGAAGGCTAGAACATTCACGCCTCTCAGAAAGCCAGGCACAGTATATATATTTTTTTTAATACAAAAGATAGAGCAGTGCCCAGAAAGCATTGCAGCCACACCCTTTTCCGGAAGGATGCTTCCACTGATGAGGACCTACACAGAGTCCTCTATTGGGAGCATGCCCCTGGTCCACTCGTTCAAAGACTATGATCATTTAATTAGGGGATGCACCAATAATCAAAACAAAGAAAAGAAGACAGACTTACCCACGTGGAAGCACAAACTTCTTCTGGCACCCTCTAATCCTCCCTCTCTCCTTGACCAGGATGTTATTATAACATCTTTTATTGTTCCTTGTGTCTAAACAGCCACTCCCTTCTTGAGTCAATCAAATGTGTGGTTTGTTAAAAAGACTGAAAACACATATTTACCTTGTTTCTGACATAGAGAATTGCCTGTTAGAAATCCACCCCTTTTCTCTTCATAGATACATATATCAAAACAACCCATGCCATATATATAGTCACCATCATTTTATTAAAAGTTTCTAAGATATGGCAAGTTGACATCCACATATCTACAGGGTAGACCTTACCATTGACATTTTATCTCACATCGCTTATTACTTTATTAACCCATCCAACTCATCTGTGGGTGCATTTCCAAACAAATAAGGCTGGGTGTGGTGGCACACACCTGCAATCTCAGAACCTCAGATGTGAAGGCAGGAGATTCAGAGTTCCAAGTTAGGTTTGTCTACATAGTGAATTGGAGGCTGGGCTATATAAGACCCTGTTTCAAAAGGCAAACAAACCATTATACCCATACCATCCTGGAACGTACCTGATTTCATTTATAAAAATGCAGTATTGGCATCTAAGTATTGCAACATGAATTTTGTTTTGTTTTGTTTTGTTTTTTTGAAACAGAATTTCACTATGTATCTTGGCTGGCCTGGATTTCCCTATGTACATCTGGGTTTTTTAAATAATTTATTTTTATTTGATGTGCATTGATGTTTTGCCTGCGTGTATGTCTGTGTGAGGGTGTTGGGTCCCCTGGAACTAGAGTTACGAACAGTTGTGAGCTGTCATGTGGGTGCTGGGAATTGAACCCTGGTCCTCTGGAAGAACAGTCAGTGCTCTTACCCACAGAGCCATCTCCCCAGTCCCATATCAGGTTTTTTTACACAGAGTTCACCTGCCTCTATTGGAATTAAAGGTGAATAAGTGTAGGGGAAGACCAACCAATCACCTTGCTTGAAGGGCGGGGTCCTCTAAGGTTATTTTTTACTAATAAATATGCGGGTGTGCTCCCCGCCTTCCCTTCTGCTTTCCTGTTCTCTGCAGGAACCTCGGTTCTGTAAGTCTTCTCCTTATTAAAGCTGAATATTTTATTATAATTTCTGTCTGCCTTTCATTTACGCCGTAACAAATAAGGTGAGTGCAACTATGCCCAGCTAGCATGCATCTCCTTAACTAGAACGCAGCATTTTTCTTTTGCGAAAAACCACTGTGGTTGAATGAAAATGGCCTCCATAGGCTCATCTGTGTATACTTGGTCCCTAGTTGCTGGAACTGTTTGGGAAGGATTGGATGTGTGGAAGGAGTGTGTCACTGGGAGGTAGGCTTTGAGGTTTCAAAAGACTCCTATTTCCAGTTCTCTGTCTCTGCCTTGTTTTGTGTCTCAAGTTGTGATCTCTCAGATACTACTCCAGCCAGGCCTGCCTGCCTGCTACCTTGCTCCCCACTAGGACGGTAATGTACTCTAACCCTCTGAAACTGTAAGCCCCAAATCCACATTTTCTTCTATAAATTGCTTTGGTCGTGGTGTTTTATTACAGCAATAGAAAAGTAAAACGGGCTGGAGAGATGGCTCAGCGATTGAGAGCATTGACTGCTCTTCCAGAGGACCTGGGTTCAAATCCCAGCACCCACAAGACAGCTGACAACTGTCAGTAACATCAAGATCTGACATCTTCACACAGACATGCAGGCAAAACATTAATGCAAAATAAAATTAAAAAGAAGAGTCAGGCAGTGGTGGCACACACCTTTAATCCCTGCACTCACTTGAGGGGCAGAGACAGGTGGATCTCTGTAAGTTCAAGACCATCTTTGTCTACCAAGTGAGTTCCAGGAGAGGCTCCAAAGCTACAGAGAAACCCTGTCTTGGAAAAAAAAAAAGTAAAGAAACAAACAAACATTTAAAAAAAAAAAAAACCAAGAGAGACCAATACAATAAAGAAGAAAGAAAAACAGAAAAACAAAACAGCCATATACAATGAAATTCACCAAACTCAAACTGAGCTCAGTAGGTGACATCCATATGTGTTTCATCCCCATTGTAACAACTGATTTATTTTTCAACACAGGGTTTCACTATGAGGATGTCCTCAAAGTTGAGACTCTCCTGCCTCAGCCTCCTAGGGCTACAGGTGTGTGTCACCACATCTGGCTCTCCAAAGCATCTCTGAGTCAGAGAAAAAAGAAGGAAAAGAAAAACAGGTGGACGCTACCCACTATCCTAACTGAAGCTGCATCCCTTTGATTGCGTGCAGTGTGTTGAAGGGTTCAGTTTCAAAGAGAAGAAAGCTGGGCATTGGTGGCGTACGCCTTTAATCCCAGCACTCGGGAGGCAGAGGCAGGCGGATCTCTGTGAGTTCGAGACCAGCCTGGTCTACAGAGCTAGTTCCAGGACAGGCTCCAAAGCCACAGAGAAACCCTGTCTCGAAAACAAACAAAAAGAAAGAAAGAAAGAAAGAAAGAAAGAAAGAAAGAAAGAAAGAAAGAAAGAAAGAAAGAAAGAGAAAAAGAGAAGAGAAAGGCTGTCCCTGGATGGCAAGTGCATCAGAGAGTGGGCAGATGTGTTTACAGCGATGGCAAGTTTCAGTGGCACAGGTAGGAGGTAGCCCAGACAAGGGGAGGACAGTGTAAAGGAGTTAGATTCTGATAGATTCAAAAGAGAACCAAGAGGGGAGTCAGGCTTTGGTGCGGAGCAGGGAGATCACAGCTGAAGAAAGTGGAGAAAGGGAACAAACTTGGGAAAGACAAGGAATTTGAGGACCTATGGATGGAGGTGTGGACCAGAGAGGGGGGATGCCAGCACAATGCAAGTACTGCTGTTTACTAACACTGATGTTTTCAAGACCAAATGACAGCGCCTTTGTCCCCACCTGAGATATAAAAATCCACTTCTGAGTTACAGGAGTCAGGTCCCCAATATTACCTAGAACCATGGGCTTACACACCAGACATACATACACACAACCAGAAAGGAAATTTTGTTTCTTTGGCAGGGGAGGTGGGGAAGAGGTTACATTTCCTTATTTGCACAATCAGCCTTTCTACAACAATCCCTTTCTTTCTTTCTTTCTTTCTTTCTTTCTTTCTTTCTTTCTTTCTTTTCTTTCTTTCTCTCTCTCTCCCTCCCTCCCTCCCTCCCTCCCTCCCTCCCTCTCTCTCTCTCTCTCTCTCTCTCTCTCTCTCTCTCTCTTTGGTTTTTCCAGACAGGGTTTCTCTGTAGCTTTGGAGCCTGTCCTGGAACTAGCTCTTGTAGACAAGGCTGGCCTCGAACTCACAGAGATCTGCCTGCCTCTGCCTCCCAAGTGTTGGGATTAAAGGCGTGCGCCACCACCACCCGGCCCAACAATTCATTTCTTAGAGATTAACAGTAAACTGGAAAAATGTTAACTGGAGACAACTTTATTCTTAGTATGTATGTGCGTGTGTGTCCCCCACAGCTTGTGTATGGAGGAGGTCAAAGAATTCTGAATACAGGTTGCTGGCTTCCACCTTGTTTGAGACCCAGTCTTGGTGGGTCAGTTGGCCGGTCAGTTTCCTTTACGTGGGTTCAGGAGATCTAAATTCGGGCCTTCACACTTGCAAGTACATTATCTCTCCAGCCCAGGAAAAATGGAATTTTTACAATTCAAAGTCGCCTGGCTTCAAGGGAGCCTCCTTCCCTCCTCAATCGCATTCTTGGGGACCTGGGAGGTGGGCTGGCTGGTGGAGAGGAAGATCCTGGGTCTTCAGTGTGGTCCAAAAGGAGAGATAACTGGGCATCCACTTTCCTGGAGAAAAATTGGGGAGGTAGATGCTGGGGTGTGTACTCATGGTAAGAATCTGGGGCTGTGGGTGGGGTTCTGGAAAGGGCCTTGGAAGAGGCAGGCACCCAGGAGGGTTGTCATAGGACTCAGGGCTCAGGATAAAAGATCCTGGTGAGGCCAGGCGGTGGTGGCGCACGCCTTTAATCCCAACACTTGGGAGGCAGAGGCAGGCAGATCTCTGTGAGTTCGAGGCCAGCCTGGTCTACAGAGCTAGTTCCAGGACAGGCTCCAAAACCACAGAGAAACCCAGTCTTGAAAAACCAAAAAAAAAAAAAGAATATGCAGGAAGAGCCAATTTGGCAAAGGAAAAGTGACTTAATTATTCTTCAGTTTAGGGAGTATGTAGTTGAGATTAATTACACGTCTTGTTTAACTGGGGGCCAGATACAAAACATGGTTTTGCCATTAAAATATTTTGGAGTGTTTTCTGTGTCAGTTATTTTGTTACCACTGTGACCAAAATGCATGACANAGAGGTTAAGAGCACTGGCTCTTCCAGAGGACCTGGGCTCAATTCCTAGTCCCCACGTGACAGCTCACAGCTGTCTGTAACTCCAGTTCCAGGGCTTCTGACACCCTCACAGACATACATGCACATAAAATAAAAATGAATTAAAAAAAAAAAAAGATACCCAAGGGCTCAGGGTCCCTCACCTTCCGCAGCCTGCAGAAGTCGGGTGGCCTGAGATAGCAAGTCCTCGGAGGGGGCGTGGCCTGAGGTTGTCGGGACCGAGGTCAAGGCATCACTAGCTCCCGCCTTAAATTCAGGCGACTGGACCTTCTCCAGTCTTCTGGATGCCTTTGGGGTTGTAGACGGCTGTGGATCCCTAGCTTCAACTGAGAGGGTGACTTTACTTTTCCGAAGCACCGACCGGCCCGTGGAGGACTCGGCCGTGGCTTTGCGGGACTCAGTCTTGGACCCACACTGAGACTCCAATGGAGGGGGCAGACCCTTGGCTTGAGGGGGTGTGGTCCTGACTTCCTGAGATTCTGCCTCAGGTGGAGACGGGCTCTCCAGGCTAGGGGCCATGTCGTCCAGGCTGTCTGGGAACAGCCGAGCTGTCACTACCTGGCCCAGGGCGCCCCTGAGCTGCGAACAGGGACTCTCGAAAGCTGCTGCAGCGTCTGGCTGAGCTGTCTCCTGGCGCGACGAAGCGCTGGCCCTCCGAGGTTTGAGTTTCTTGGGCTGGGCAGAACTACTCAGCTCAATGGTAGTTGGCTCCTGAGGGGTGTCCGGTAGTGGAAGGGTGGAAGCTAGGAGAGTCGGGGTGGAAGCTGGGGGCACTGGGGTGGAGACTTGGGGAGTAGGGATGGGAGCTGGGGCAGCTGGAGTGGCGGTAGGGGGTGCTGGGAAGGAGGCCACAGGAGCAGCGGGGGAGGCTAGCAGTGTGGTAGGAACCATCCCGAGAGATATCCATGGATTGGCCTGTGGGGCCCAGAGGAACCCGTGAGGGCTGGGGGTCCAGATGTGTGGAGAGGGCCCCGGAAGAGGAGGCCTCTCCACATAGAAGGCCTGTGGGGGAGGAGGCTGGGCCACATTGCCCCATGGTGGAGCACAGTTAGGCTGAGTCCCCAGGGAACCGAGATTCACTGCAGGAGCAGGAGGAGTCTGTGACAGAAAGAGGTATGTGAGACAGGAAGGAAGAGCTGGAAGGTCCCTTACCACTGTTGGGATCTCGCCTCCAACTCACCTGAGTGGCGAGGGCTGGGGTCCGAGGCAACACCCAGGTTCCATCACCCTCAGCTCCTCGAGCCTGCTCAAGCTTCCGCCGCTGCCGCCATTGGTATAAAATGTCTTCCTCGGGCTGAAGGGTTGCCTGGGAGGAGGCTGTGCTGGGAACAGGGATGCGGGCCTGGGATGGTTCTGGGACTGCTGTAGGGGGAGTAGAGAGGAAAGGGCTGAGGGAGCACAGGGTGACACCTGAAGCCCAGATTCTTCTGACGGGTGGCCCAGACACCAGACAATTCCTTTGTGAAATGAAGAAGGGCGGGGCAGAAGAGGCTTGGGATTCTCTTTCTCTTGCGATTTTGCTTTGCAGCCTGGGCTTACAGACAAGTGTCATTATACCCAGTTTGTGATTGTACTTGTATATTTCCTTATTTGTTTTTATTTCTTCCGTGATTCTGTCGAACTTGATCACATCCCTCCCTCCTGCTCCAGGTGCTCAGAGCACCTGCAGGACCCTATTATCATCCCAAAAGACCACGTACCCTCCATGGTCAGCCGTCTCCGACAGCCTCACCAGGCCTCTCCCATCTATACCACATGGCCCTGTCACTGGCCTGAACTCCCTGTGTACCCGGCTGATGCGACTCAGAGATCTGCTGAGACTGAAGGCGTGCTCTCTGAAACCTGTTCCCCTCTAGCTGTGAGAGTCTCACCTAGCCTGTGCTGGCCTCAGACTCAGTATGGAGCTGAGATTGACCATGAGATACCGATCTTCCCACCCCCGCAGCAGCAGGCGCCACCATTCCCCGCTTCTCGCTGAAGTTTTTCACCTTCAACAATCCTCATGCTGCCGCTAAGCTGCACTGGTATGAGCAGGATAGATGTGGGCTTGGGACAACACACCAGTCCTGAGCACACTGAGATTTAGCCAAGACATGTGGAATTGCCAGATATTCAACTTTGGGTGTGTGTGTGGGGGGGGGGTTGCCTACAAAAACGTTCCATATGGTTCACTGTGATATTAACAATACAAACAAGCATGGTAGGCATGGTAGTGCCTTCCTGGAATCCCAGTACTGGGGAGGCTGAGGCAGGAGAGCAAGAGTTCAAAGCCAGCAGGAGCTGCTCATGAGTTCCAAGCCAGCTCAGGCAGAGTAGGAAGACCCTGGTGCACAGAAAGAAAACTAGAGCCAATGAAGTGTGAATGTTTCCTCTACTCTGCGATCAGCCTTCTGATCTTGGAGCTTACTGTCCTAATATCAGTGAGTACAGTAGGCCTGTCACAGCCCTGACAGCCACTGTTGACAGGCCCGTGTGAAGGGCCTCCAGGGACTCGTGAATTCAGTTCATCTCCGCCATACCTGTGAGGGAGGGGTCCAGTTACTATTCCTGTATCCCAGAGAGGCCAAAGTCACACAGCTAGTAAGAGGACACGGTGGGATTTGAACCTGGCTACCATCAATCCTTACCTCCCGACGCAGATTCTTTGGGACCAGACCTCTTGTTGGAGTCTGGGTTGAAGGTCACGGAGCAAGGAGAGAGGCCATTGGAGCCGATGGGGAAGGAGGAGCTGCTGGCATCACTGGGACTGAGGGAGGAGGAGGAGGAGAGGGAGGCCTTGCTGCAGGGAGAGAGTAGCGGTGAGGGGAGCGGTGAGCCAGGCACAACTGGTGAGGGAGAGGACGGGGAGAGGCGTCACCTGCGCTTCAGGAGTTTGGCCGCTCTGCTTTGTAGGCTCAGTGTCTCCAAGTCCAGCAAAGATGAGTTCCAGGTGTTCAGGCTCTGCACAGCGAGAGGGGCCCAAAGCTAGTCCTTGTGCCAAAGGCTGCTGGGAAAGGGGCTCTTGACAGAAGGCCTGGGGACCTATATTCCACCTGGCACTTTCTTGTGGCAGGGAAGTTTAAATCCGCTTCTCTTGAGGAAGACAGGGTTACTTTCCCTCTTTCGCTCTTGGGGTTTCTGTGACCCGGGCTGGCCTTGAACTCGCGATCCTACTACCTCAGCCATGCCAGTATTGATTGCTTAGTGGGGAAAGCGCTTTCTGTACAGGTCACAGACCTGAGTTTAAGCCCTAGAACCTACGCAGAGGTGAAAGAAGAGAATCAACTCCTGGGCGTTGTCCTCTGACCTACACACACACACAGAGAGGGGGGGGGGGGACTCATACACAGACACATACTACATTTAAAATTTAAAAAGGAAAGATTGAAAGATTGAACCTATCTCCCTGACGGGACCTGCCTAATCAAAAGATTCTATCAAACAGTTCAGTGATTAACTTGAAGGTGTGTGAAAAAAAGACAGACAGGTAGGACTAGAGAGATGGCTCAGCCATTAAGATAACTCACTGCTCTTCCAAAGGCTCTAAATTCAATCCCATCACACACCCCTGCCATACTGGACTGGAATCCCCTAAAACTCAGCAAATACACCTTTTCTCCCTGGCTTCGGTCAAGTGTTGGTCCCAGCAGCATGACTATAACGAATACGCATGCGCAGCACAGCATAAACATAACAAATACGCATGCGCACGCACATTTACTTTTAGCGTTCAAAATCTCATTCAACTACCAAATTCTTCTGCTAAAGACTATTTTATTTATTTGTTTACTTACTTAAGCTGGATATCATATAGCCCTGGGCGGCCTCCGACTCCATAGACAGCTGAGGGTAACTTAAGCCTCTGACCCTAGGTGCGGAGACTCCCGCTCTGTACCAGCAGGCTTGCTTTTATGTGGCACTGGACTTTCTGTCTGCTGGGTGAGCATGTTCCCAAATGAGCCACTCTCCATGCCCACAAACCCTTTCTCGTCTAGGATTCCTTAAGGTGGTCATTGTCTCTAATTCTGTCCCAGGGCTGGTGCTCTCAACTCAGGCACGCAAGACAGGGAGAAGGTAGCAATGTCACCTGCTTTACTTTCTGAAGAGGAGCTGAAGCCAGAGATGCGTTGCACATCCCAGCAGGAGATGGACCTGTCGTTGGGGATCTTCCTTCGGGTTCACTGGCTCCTACAGGGGAACCTCAGCTGATCACAGGGACCAGGAAGAGCGGTTGCTGCTGAGCACCGAACAGGAGAGGTTTTAGGTACCTGCTGCAAGGTGACTGCTGATGTCTGACAACTTGGGCTGTAGCCACCAAAAGTCAGCTGGGGTCGGGCCTGCAGGCTGGCGTTCCTCTCGGCTTGTAGGCTGAGCTTGGCGGAACCTGTTTATGTACCTGTAAGCATCCGGGGGTGAGAAGCAGAGGGACTAAGGGAGCCGTGCGGTCATGACAGTAATTATCACAACAGCAGCAGACACGGTGCTCTTCCGTCTGTTTGTCAAGCACACGGGAAAGTGGTGCTCAGAGGCCCAGATAAGAATAACTCCTTTTGCCAGTAGTGGTGGCGCAGGCCTTTAATCCCAGCACTTGGAGGGGAGGGTGGGGTGGGCGGAGGCAGGCAGATCTGAGTTCGAGGCCAGCCTAGTCTACAGAGTGAGTTCAGGAGAAGCAGGACTACACAGAGAAATCCTGTCTCTAAAAAGCAAAATAAATTAAATAAATAAATAATAAATGCTTTCTTCAAATCTATCAAAAGCAAGCACTTGGGGATGGAGAGATGGCTCAACGGTTAAGAGCATTGCCTGCTCTTCCAAAGGTCCTGAGTTCAATTCCCAGCAACCACATGGTGGCTCACCACCATCTGTAATGAGGTCTGGTGCCCTCTTCTGGCCTGCAGGCATACACACAGACAGAATATTGTATACTTAATAAATAAATAAATAAATAATTTTTTTTTAAAAAAAGCAAGCACTTGGCCTTAAAAATCCATTTTTCTTTCTTATATATTAATGTGATTTTAATTTTTTTACATTTTTTCTCTATGTGTACATACACACACACTTACAGGCATGGGTGCACACTTGAACGGGCATGCTACAGTGCACATGTGTAGATGGGTCCCAGGGATTGGCCTGGGGTTGTCAGGCTTGGTGGCAAGCACCTTTATCCACTGGGTCATATAGCCGACCCGATATTAATTTTCTTTAATTTTTTTCTCTTTTGATTTTTTTGAGGCAGGGTTTCTTTGGGTAACTCTGGCTGTTCTGGAAATAACTCTGTAGACCAGACTGACCTTGAACTCAGAGATCCCCTGCCTCTGCCTCCTGAGTGCTGGGGTTGAAGGTGTGCATGACTACTGCCCGGCTGTATGTGTGCTTTCTCACACTTGATGTGTATGGGATAGCACACACATCACAGAAGACAACTTTGTGGAGTCAGTCCTCCATTTCCGTCTTCATGTGGGGTCTTGGGATCAAACCCAGGTTGCCAGTTACCCACTGAGCCATCTTGCTGGCCCCTTCATTTAACTTAGGCTGGTTTTGAATTCACTAAGAGTGATCTTGAACTTCTTTTTTTTTTATTTTTTTTTTATTTTTTGGTTTTTCGAGACAGGGTTTCTCTGTGGCTTTGGAGCCTGTCCTGGAACTAGCTCTGTAGACCAGGCTGGTCTCGAACTCACAGAGATCTGCCTGCCTCTGTCTCCCGAGTGCTACTGATCCTTCTGCCACTACCTTTTTTTTGGGGGGGGGGTTGTTTTTGTTTTTTGGTTTTTGGTTTTTTGGTTTCCCTGTAGCTTTGGAGCCTGTCCTGGAACTAGCTCTTATAGACCAGGTTGGCCTTGAACTCACCGAGATCCACCTGCTCTGCCTCCTGATTGCTGGGATTAAAGGTGTCTGCCACCACAACCCAGCTGCCTCTACCTCCAAAATGCTGAGTCTACAGGCATACATCACTATGCCTCATTTTATGTGGCTTTGGGAATCAAACCAAGGGCCCAGTGCATGTTGGACAGATGCGATAACAGCTGAGCTACATCACCAGCCAGACTGGCTCTTGAGCAACAAAGAATAAGGGAGCGTGAATCTGGAAGAGGAATGTCAAGTGGTGACCATTTTGGCCTATGAAGGAAAGGACAATAGCTTAGAGACAGAACAACAATAAGACAGACAGACCCTATGTTCCTATCACCTTAAATAATGCCTGCAATGTCAGCCCTGGTTGCTTCTGTTGGGACCACTAGCTGAGCGAGACATAAATATTATCAGGGACCTCTATCTTTCAGACCCGAGGACTCACTCTACGATGTGTGTTGCCATAGATCAGTATGTGGAGGAACAGAGGATTCAGAACAGTCACAGTGCATGTGTGTGCTTAGCATTCCCAATTCAAGGAAACTGAGACCAAAGCAATGCAGAGAATAATTAACCGAGGCAGGATCTGAACCCAGGCAAGCTCCAGACCCCTCAATAACACACACGAAGTGCCCGGTCCTAAGAGTACTGCGTAACAGCTGTGTCTAACAGTTATTATGGGATGCCTTCTTCTTCCCTTACACACACGAAGTGCCCGGTCCTAAGAGTACTAAGTAAACAGCTCTGTCTAACGGTCATTATGGGATGCCTTCTTCCTCCCTTGGCCCCAGATCTCCCTTCCCCGCCAGGAGTTCTGGCACTTACTTGGCTACCACAGAGTCCCCGCTGTCAATTACAGTGAGTGGCGGAGAGGTACTTTGTTCCTCAGTGCTGAGTGGGGAAGGGGTTCCGGAATCGGATGGCCAGGACGCCTCAGACAGCTCAGGGGAGTTGCTTGCTGTGGCCTGGAGAGCTTGTGGCCTTTGAGACCTGGATGGACACAGGATTTAAATTGGGAGAAATCACAAGAAGAAAAGATCAGATCAGAGGGTGATCCCGGTGGGGAATGAACACACATAGAGGTCGTCCAAGAGAGGAGACATCCCACTGTTACCAGTGGAAGGTTCAGTTGACAGCCTAAGGGAGACTGTGGTTGGGGACCCAGGTGGCAGAGAGCCGGAAGTGGGATGGCCACCAGCAGTGGGGCAGGGGACTTCTCTTAATCGGTCATCCCCATTCTCATCACATGCCTTCCTTCCTTCTAGCGGTCACTTCCTGCTGTTAGTCTATGTCACAGAACTTTACCTAAAGCGTGTCCTCACCTTGGGGCTCCAGTTCTGGCTCCTCGATGGCCAACAGGGTTGTCTACCCTGGAGAACATTTCAAAGGGGTTGTCTTGGGTTGTGAAAACTGATAGGCTACAAAAGAAGCAGAGCATGGTAAGAGGAGGACAGAAGCTAACAATTCCCATGGAATCCTGGAAGAGATGGACTACAGTTCCCACAAATCATCACTTCGTAGTCAAGACAATGCTCGTAGAGGTGTGATTCCATGACCTCTTAAAAGAGACTTAAAAGAACCTAGGAACTGGTAGTTTGTAGTTCTTAACTCTGGATCCAGCCTAGGAGGCGCTTTTATTATTTACTTATTTTGAGACAAGGTTTCATTCTGTATACAGCCATGGTTAGCTTTGCACTTCAGGTTATCCTCCTGCCTCAACCTCTTGAGTGATAGGATTACAGAAATTTAGGAGAGGGCTTTTAAAATCATAGACTTGCCAGACGGGCAGTGCTGGCACACACCTTTTAATCCCAGCACTCAGGAAGTCAAGGCAGGCAGGTCTCTGTGAGCTCGAGGCCAGCCTGGTCTATAAGAGCTAGTTTCCAGAGCTACAGGGAAACCCTGCCTCGAAATACAAAAAAAAAAACAAACAAAAAACCCACAAACTCCTATGTGATATTCACCTGTCATCCCCACACTCAAGAGACTGAGGCAGGAGGATCAGAAGTTCCAGAGGCTGGGGAGATGGCTCAGTGAGCAAAGAGCTTTGTGCACAAACACGTGGACCTGTGTTCAGATCCACAGACCCCATGTAAAGCCATGTGCTAGCACAGGTCAGCAATCAGAGTACTCCTACACTGAGGTGGGAGGTGGACGCCGGAGAGCCCCCCAAAAGCTTGTAGGCCAGCTAACCTATAGTACTCAGATGTAAACAACAAAGAGACCCTGTCTCAACAAGGTGAAAGTTGGGGTTGACACTTGTCTAACAAGTGCAATGCCCTGAGTCTGATCCTCAGCTGGGGACCGGAGGGAATGGGAGTGGGAGGGAGATGGGAGGATGACAAACAAAGCGAAAGATGAGGACAGACACCTGAGGTTGTCTGATTTCCACACTTACACGGAGAAACAGATGCACTCACACACAAAGGCTACATGGACAAGAATAACATGTTATAGAATCATGGTCCCACTCCAAGCTAACAGAATCAGAATGCCAGTAAACAAGCTAGACATTGCATCTTCTCCAAACGATCCAAGCAATTAAAAAAAAAAAGATTTAATTCTTTTTGTTTTGTGTATGAGTGTTATGCCTAAATGTATCTGTGTGCAATGCCCTCGAAGGCCAGAAGAAAGTGTCAGATTCCCTGCAATTAGCACATTACAGATGAAGGGGAGCAGCCATTTGGGTGCTGAGAGTCAAATCTGGGGTCTCTGGAAGACCAGCCACTGCTTCCCAACTCTGAGTGAGCCCTTTCTCCACCCCCATCCAGGTAAAATATGGTCTGTTGTATGGTTTTATATGTTTTTAACTGACACATATTAATTGTACACATTTATGAGGTGAAGTATATTTCAATACATGTATGCAATGTGTTATGATCAAATCAAGGTAATTAATCTCTTTAAACATCTTCCATGAAGCCCATTTCATGAAGACCACGACTAAAAAACAAGTCATTTATTAGCCAGGCATGGTGGAGCATGCCTGTAACCCCAAAACTCAGGAGGCAGAGGCAGGGGCAGGAGGATCTCTGAGTTCAAGGTTAGTCTGGTCTACAGAGTGAGTTCCAAGACAACCAAGGGCTTCACAGAGAAACCTTGTCTCAAAAAAATAAAAATAAAAATAAAAAAGAAGAAAGAAAGTAATTTAAAACACATAAATAAAAAAAGAGGAATATACAAAAATAAAGCAACAACAAAGAACCAGACTAAAACGTACTAAAACGTACACAGTACGTTTCCGGTCAAATCTGTTAAGGGGAGGAGGATGTGGAATGAGGGTAGGGGTAGATGGACTACAATCCCCATGAGCCACCGGGCCCTCCTAAGCGAGAAAGTTCAACGATAACACCCACGGTTGTCTGGGGAAATTTGGAAACCAACAAACTTAATTTCCAAGTTTCTTTTAGACTCCCTTAGAGCCACCCAGAGAGAACAAAAGACATGAGATCCCAGGGATGGGGAAGCTCACGGCTGGAGCGCCAAAACCTGCGTAGCATCTTGGGAGTTGTAGTTCCAGTGTGGTTGGGCCGGAGACCCCAGGCTCCAGCAAACCCGTGTTACCTTCCCTGGGCTTCCTGTGATCTCTGAGGGAGGGACAAACCTCACCTGCAGTCCGTCCCGCATCTACCTCAGCGTTAGTGCCAGCTGAGCTCCTTAACGGGACACCCCGACGCCTACCCTCCTCGCTTAGTAACGCTGTCAGCTCCGCCCCTTTTGGAGGGACCTCCAAGGCGACCAATGATAGTCTAGAAAATAAAAGTAACTGGAAAAGCGGCCGAGGGATGTTCTCTCGTGACTGGCTGCAGCACTGCTGAGGGCGCTTGTTTGATTGGAGGCGGGTAGTGTGCAACAGTCATTGGCAAGACTTTTGACCAATAGAAAGGATCAGAGGCTGGGCAGCCGCTTGGAAGAGCGCTAAGTGTGTTGGCTATTACGCTGTCCTTTTTTCCCTAACCGCAAGAGTTGTTGAAGGAGCTAAGTCCCAGCTCCAGCTTAACTACTGTTGCGGGGGTAACCGGGGACATCTGTCTTCACTTGGCCATCCCTCTATCAGTTGGGCCGGCAAACCCGTCTTGATGGTCACCTTAACCACTTTCCTCTTGCTACTGAGCAGCTGGTCTCACTCCTTGCCAGGTCCGGGCTCCTGGCCCAAGCTGTAGGATCAAAACGAGCTATTTCTGGCCCCGGCGCGCAGCCCCTGGGGGCCGACCTGGAGTGTTCATGCTCACGCCCCCCCCCTGGCCGCTGAGCACCCGAGGCTGAGTCAGAGGCCCAGAATTAGGCCCGACCTACTCTGGGGTAGGGTCTGTTCTGTGTCCTCTGACAGCCTGGCGTGGCTGCCGCATTCTCCAAGAATCTTCCTAAGACTGGTGCGTCATCCTCAGATGCCAGCCGGGCGGAGATGGATTAAGAGGACGGAGAACTCTGATGGACTCTTCTTAGGGGCCCAGGTTCCCAACTGCTGCCACAGTGGTTCGCCACACCTAGAAGGGTCTGCCTCCTTAAGCATTAGCTTCCCCTTCTAGAAATGGAAAAGGCTTAATAACAGTAACCTGGTGTCCTTTTCCAGGCATCCAGCAGGCGTTTAATAACTAGCCAAGTCATTATTGAAGTTTCTAAATAAGGCATACTAATGGCTGAGTCTGGCCTCAATCCCAGTGTCCCTGAGAGGCCGGCCGCGGGGGCCGCACTAGGCACGGTATAAATCGGAGAGTGCGTGCGCTTGGGCACTGCGGAGCCCAGAGTGGCAGCGGAGGAACAGAATGGAGATCCCCGTGCCTGTTCAGCCTTCTTGGCTGCGCCGCGCTTCAGCTCCTTTACCTGGTTTTTCCGCTCCGGGACGCCTCTTTGACCAGCGTTTCGGGGAGGGGCTGCTTGAGTCCGAGCTGGCTTCGCTGTGCCCTGCTGCGATCGCCCCCTACTATCTGCGCGCCCCCAGTGTGGCACTGCCCACAGCTCAGGTGCCAGACCTGGGGGAAGGGACAACTCAACTACTAACAGGACTAGCGGTCTGGTTCTCCCTGGGGTGGGGGTATGGGAATGTCTGGATTTTAAGTTTAGGGAAGAATGCCACCTTTCAGCGGCCCACTGAGAGTCCTCCGAATGTGGTGTGTTGTTCCCCTGAGGGGCGAGGAGTGGAGTCTCATAGCTCGGGGGGGGGGGGGGGGGGGGGGGGGGGGGGGGGGGGGGGGGGGGGGGGGGGGGGGGGGGGGGTGGAAGGACTGAAGGAGGAAGGTGACCCCAGGAATCCGGGGAAGGGACAGTGAGTCCCGAAGGGTTGGAGTGGTCTCGTGTATCCGTCTCCCACTTGGGTGATTTGATGAAAGCAGCCTTGGTCACTTTAAAGCAGAGGAAGAGTACCATAAATTAGAAGGCACAGGTTTCATGACCTGAGAACTCTGGAGATGGGGAAGTGGCATCATTTGCTAGCGTGGTGGGGAATAAGAGATCTCATAACCAAAGACATGGTGGCTGTGGAGTCAATGACATGGGGTGGGGGTACAGGGCATGTACCCAACCTGTCACCCTATGAATGCGGAAGTTCAGGAGAGGTGGACCCAGTGCCTACAAGAGGAGGGAGGAGGCTAGTTATTTATGTGTAAGGTTGAGGTTCTGGTGACTCCGAGAAGGGGACTGTCTTTGGGCAGCAGCACTGTAACCTATAGCGTAGGGGTGCTGAGCCCCAGAAGCCGAGCCCTAATCCAATGAAAATCCAACACCTGGGGGCTGGAAAGATGGCTCAGAGGTTAGGACAACTGACTGCTGTTCCGGAGGTCCTGAGTTCAATTCTCAGCAACACCCCCATCTGTAGTGAGATCTGGTGCCCCAGAAGACTATACATAATAAATAAATCCCACACCTATGTCCCATGTGTGCAGGTGGCCAAGGACCCTGGGTATTTTTCTGTGCTGCTGGATGTGAAGCACTTCTCCCCAGAGGAAATCTCTGTCAAGGTGGTTGGCGACCACGTGGAGGTTCACGCACGGCATGAGGAGCGCCCGGTAGGCCTGCAGGCCAGATGGGACAGCAGGGTTGGGCAGGAAGGTGGGACGCTCAAGTCCATTTTCTCCCCCAGGATGAACATGGATTCATTGCTCGAGAGTTCCACCGTCGCTACCGCCTGCCTCCTGGCGTGGACCCTGCTGCTGTGACCTCGGCACTGTCTCCTGAGGGTGTCCTGTCCATCCAGGCCACACCAGCATCGGCCCAGGCCCCACTTCCATCACCACCTGCTGCCAAGTAGGGGTCCGGGCATTATAGGACCGAATCTAAGAAGCCTCTTTAGGCTCCCTTTTAAAAGCCAATCTGACTCCGCTGCCCAGCCAGATATCCCAATCGCTGTCAAGACAGTTCCTCCCCACCAAATATGAGTGTCTTCCCCTAGGACCTTTCCACCTAAAGCCCTACCTGGGCCTTAGTGACTGAGACACGCCCCCCCCCAAGCCTGCCCTGCCCTGTCAGCTTTCAGCCCCATCCATAATACCCCGCTAGAGACAACACAAACACTGTCACCCTCCTTGGCCTACACTCCCACCTGACTGAGCCCACTCTGGGCTTCTACTAGCACTAGGCCCCCTACTGCACTTCTAAGTTGTAGAATACCCACACTGTGAGACCAGAGTACGATGCAGATAGTGCTCCCCCCCACCCCAGGCCTGTCACCTAATTCCCCACACTGACCCATGGGAAGGCCAGTCTGACCCAGACTGCATGGGCTTTCCACATCAGAACATTCAAGTCTGGTCCACCAGACTCTAGATCCTGTCCCTGCCACCTAACAGTCTGCCCCAGGCCATTTTCTGACTTGAAACTCCAGGAGCCTAAGTTCCCAAATCCTGTTCTGATTTCCCAATCCTTGGAAATCTATTCCCAACCAACCAGGAGCCCCAAACTCAGACTGTACAGGCACCCCAACTTCCCCAGATGAGCTAGGCCAATAAACCAGAACCCTTGGGTTCCTTTGTCCCGACTCCCCCCCTGCAGCCAGACAGCCTAAGCAGCCGCCTCCCATCACTTGTCCTGTAAGATCAGTCACAACTCCGTTCCCTGTCACCTCATGCCCTTCCTATCAATCCCCAATAAAGGCGCTAAAAGATTCATCGACTGCCTTATGTCTGGGCCAGTTTTGGTTGGGGGCAGGTTTATTGGGGTGGGGGTGGGGGGCTGGGAACATCACTGCCGATCATACATCTCCCGCAGGATCTTCATGCTTTCTGAGTAACGAAGCTGATTCCGATGAGATGCCTCCTTCCACCTAGCAAGGTAAAGGAGGATTTAGCAACTGCTGCAGAGGGCATGCAGGCAGGGAGCAAGTGGGGCAGGGCACGCTCACCTCTGGCGTATACGTTTCCAGCGCTGCATGTTGCGATAGATGAGCGTGGAAAGAGACGGTTCAGGCTCGGAGGGCTGCATGGACAGAGAGGCCCAGCTAGGTGGCCACGCCCCAACCTCCCAACACATGTCCTGAATGCCAGGCCAGCCTTATACACCTACTTCATCATCTGGGGTACCCTGGGTCTCAGGCTGCAGGGGGGATGGAATTCGGGATCTGCAGGTATCGCCAAGTGATCCAGGGGCTGTGGGTGGAGGCAGCTTGTACACATCACGGCTTTTGCTGTTGATGACCTCTGAACCCTAGGGAGACCAAGCCCCACTGTGAGGCCCAAGAGTCAGAGCAGAATGTTGAGTGTACATGCATCCCTCCTACCTTTCCCAGTGACGCAGACATGAGTCAGAAACCTGCACCTGGAGGAGTCACAGCAGAGGGACACATACCTTTACCAGCTAGAGAATGGTCTTCCTGTTCTAGGGACTGGATCTTTTTGTCAGTCTGAAAACCCTTGTCTACCCTTGCCAAGCCCAGGGAATTCCATCTATACCTGTCAGCCCAAGGTCAAGAGCCTGCCTTAAGGAATTGTCCAGGGGGCAACAAGTCTACCCTTATCTTGACAGAGTCAAGTCCTATGTCCGTCCCAGGGATCTCTGTCTTCCCTCTTAGGCCAGATGACTTCCAAACCCCCATCATCCTCCACCCCACTCAGAGGGTCCACATTTGCTCACCAAGGCCCCACCTGGTAGCCACATCTGTTTGCACTAAAGATCCCTGTTTAGCCCGCTATTTCTTGGAATCCCTGTTCCCTAGGGAGCTGTATCTATCTGGCCTAAGGATCTGTCTTCACCTAACGGCACATAGCTGTGTGTCCTACTCTACAACGGGCCCAGAGATTACAGCAATCTACCACCAATGGGGGGGGGGATCTTGAGTCTATCCACCCACTGCTCTCTCTGGCCTCTGGGTCATCCCACCTCCTCATCCTCAGGCAGAGGGGGCAGTGGTGAGCTGGGTGACCGCTCCCGCTCTCGCACTGAGGGACTGTTGCGCATCCAGGCACGGCAGATGGGGTACAATGGTGTGTTCTCACTGAACTGGGCCAAATCCACACTCCGGTCAAACAGCTTGATCACATATGTGTCTGGGGTGGTGAGGTGGGACACAAATGAGCACCCTTATTTAGTTCCTGGCTCCATGCCCACCCTCTCGGGCCCCTGCCTACTCACTGGATCTCTGAGGACCCCCCTCAGTCAGCCCATCGTCCATCTCCCTCCTCTTCTTCCTCCGCTGGTGGGGGAAGCGGGCGGATGGCCTGTGTGGTGAAGGTGAGCGTCAGCCTGGAGCTGGGGACTGGGAACCCGAGAGTGGGCTGGGGCCCCAGCCACCTTACCTTTTGCCAGTAGCAGCGATGGAGCAATCCCTGCAGGGAGAGACAGGGTATCAGCAGGCCGAGCCTTTAATAAACACCTGCTCAACACCCCCACCCCAAGGCAGGGGTGATGTAGTTCGGTAGTAGAGCATTTGCATAGCATGGGCAAAAACCCTGGGGTTCAATCCCTAGCACTGAAAACAAACAAAAATGGACATCCTGGGGTTTACTGCTACCCCTCGGGCCTTGTATCCCACAAACATCCCCAAGGTGTGAGCCACTTACACCGCAGGTATCTCTGTCCATATAAGACGGTTATGACTCGGAGGAGGGAAAAGTTACCTAACCCAAACTCTCAAGTCTAAACCCCATCAAAACCTCTTACTTGTTGTGTGTATCCAAGGGTGTCTTTCCAGCATCTTCATCCAGACGTTCCCTAGGAGCAAAAAGCACCATTGGCTTAGGGTACTGAGGGCCCCGAGTGTGATAATAATGGGTCTCCCCAGGGAACACCTTTCTCCCCGTGTCGGCCTCTAGATCTCATCCAGATCCCAACCACAGAGAGTCCAGACACAATCCCCACCCTTGTGGTCCCCCAGGGTGGAGCAGACCCCAACCTGTCCATGTGACTCTTCTCCAGGAGACACTGAAGAACGGCATCCAGCTGGTTCCGGGCTTTGGCCATCTCCATCTCTGAGGGCAGAAGGTACGAAGTAGGAATCAGTTCACATATGTGCACCCCCACATCCTCTGTGGGAGGCAACCCTAAGGTCTGGTCCAGGTGCCCTGAAAGTGGCAGCTTTGGTGCCCCTCAGTGGAGAAATAAGACAAAGACAGAATGGGGGGGCTGAGCCTTAGGCAGAGGTCAAGCCGAGGCTGCTGCCATTGCTCCAGTCTGTTGGCTTCTCTCCCACACAACACCAGCTTAAGGTCTATGATCTGCACACCTTCCATGGACAGCCCTTAGGGGCTTTCTATGGGGTCCTGAACTAGGTCTGGCTCTCTAAACTAACCCCTCTTCCTGAATCCCCACCAATCCAAAGGCTCCTGGACTCACCATAGATACCCCTTTCCCTTCTTGGTCTCAGCCCACTTGGCTTCCTGTGTGTCTAACCACGTATTCCCTCCCCACTTTGCCCTCTCCTCCCACTCAGCTCCTAGCCTCATTCTCTCCTTCTGATCCACTTTCCACGATGTGGACAAGAGACACCCCCCCCCCATGAAGGAAGTCAGGCCTAGCTAGGCATAGTAGCTGCTGTACCAGCACCAGCTCTGGAGGCTGAGACAGGAGGATTAAGAGTTCAAGGCCAGCCTCAGCAACGTAAGACCCTGGCTCAAACAACATAAGCAAAACAGAGAAAAAAGTAATAAAAACAATCAACCTGGCTTTGGTCTCCCCCCCTTCAGGATTCCACAATCCTGACCCCAGAAAATGCGGTCTGGACTCAGCCCGGTGTTTCCGAGCCTACCCTCGTCCTGTTGCATATTTGTGGCAAGGCTCCTTCCACTTTAGTGTCTCTCACTAGGCAGCCGTGGGGTGGCCTGGAATTTACTAAACAGAACAAACTGACCTTGAATTCAGAAACCTGCCAGCTTCTGCCTTCCACGCACTGGGATTAAAGGTGTGTGCCAACACAAACAACCCCTCCACTATTCCACTCAAGTTTTCTTATTGTTTTTGTTCTGTTTTGGTTTTTTGTTTTATTTGGTATCTTGTGGTACACATTTACCAACTCACTCCTTGGTTCACAAACCTTCCTAGACTACCCATTTCCCTCAGAGGAAAAGTCCTGGACCCATCAATCTGTCCTCCTCCCCACTACCTCTTTGCCTCCACTTCTTCATTGCCGCAGCCATCCTGGCCTCCTCGCTGCTCCCTTGGTTCCGCTGGCTACTCCCCCACATCGCCACTCCAACTGCCATTTCCTCCCACCTTGAGGACTGATTTGTTTGGTTAGCTGTGACTATAGGAAATATCACTAGGGCCTGGTTTTACTTATTTTTCAGGGCTGGGAATGAAACCAGGAGTCCAGGGCGTGCTAAGCAAACGATCTACCATAGGCGCACCTACAGCCTTATCTCGTTTTAGGTAACACTTCTCCCATTTAACACCTCACATCACTATTTACTACTGACCACCTTTTCCTTCTGGATTCTGTGCTCCCGCCTCACTGCCCTTTACCACGCCATTGTAGGTTTCCCGTCTGGCTCTGCCTGAGCCTATGTTTTCTCATCCACCCCACACTTCCTACGCCCTAAGGTTACTGGAATACAGAAACTGAGAATTGATTCCCTGTACTTCAGGGTCATAGCACAATTGCTGACTCGTGCCCACTTCCAGAAATGGGAAAACTGAAGTAGAACAAGAAAAGGACTCTTCTTAAGAGTTAGGGACTCCGCACCCCGCAGTTTTACGACAGCCACAGGGCCAGAACCTTTCAATCTCAAAGCTACTCTGAACATACCCGGGATGGTTTGAAGGTGGCATGCTCATGCGATTGTCAGATGGGCTGCAGAGAGATGCCACATAGTTCCCTTTTTCGCGATAACCCACGTCTCTCGGGTATCCTGGATCATCAGTCCTCACCTGATTTCTCCACTTTTACCTTCACCGGGAACATGGTTTGGGTCCAAGTCTAATTCGCTGGATCAGAAACACTTAGAGGAGACAGGATTCACAAGCCAAGGCAGGAGGCGGGCAGGAAAAGGTCAAAGGTAAGCCTGGGTACCACTGGTCCTCGGGCCTGAGCACCGTCCAGTGGCCAATGCCTTGACCGCCACCTCCCTTCCTTCCCTTCTGTAGGCGGGCCCCTTCGGCAGCCGCTATTTCCCATTAGTTAATGAAAACGTCAATTTCATTCGCAGGCCAATTGATAGCCTGTACCATTGGCTCCCCAGCCTGTAAGTTCCACCTTCCCGAGGCCCTGTTTCCGGAAACAAACCAACGACAACCCAGGAAACTACTGGGGGGGGGGGGGGGGGGAGATCGTGTGATTCAAACTTCCAGGGCTCGCCGCGCGGAGCACTGTGGGAAACAAAAGCGCAAGGCTTCTCGAGATTCGTAGTGGTATTGTCAGTATACTCATTTATAGCTTTGAACTAACTGCTGTAGCTCTTTGTCACCGAGATCCCTAAAAAGGAAGAGCGATCTGGAGTTGGACTGGCTTCTTAGGGAAAGCTGGCTAGGTATCAATTGCCTGCTGAGCAAAATCTCTGTGAGTTAAGTATTTAGAGCGCTGGGTATTCATGCGGATAGTGAGGACACTGCAGGAACAAAGCAGGCAATGCTGCCTTGCCCTAAGGTGGCTTATCTTGTAGAGAATAGTAGTCAATAAGCCAAAATTCTAAATGAAATGTAATAGGGACAAAAATATGCTCTAAAATAGTCCTAGGGAACGTCAAGGTAGGACTAAGATTTTATATCGTTATTTATTTGTTCATTTATTTATGTTTATTTATTGCCTCACTCTGGCTCAGTCTAGCCTGAAACTATATATGCAACCCAAGCTGGCTTTGAACTTTAACATACCCTGCTTTTTGTCTGTTTACTTATTTATTGGGGGTTGGGGTGTGAAGGGGCACACATGTACCATGGTACACCTGTAGAGGTCAGAGGATCACGAGATTTGGTGGTCAAACTCAGGCCAGGATTGGCAGCAAGTGCCCTTACACACTGAGTCATCTAACCAGACCCTTTGCTGAAACTTTTTTTTTTTAATTTATGTTATCTTATTTAGTTGGTTTGAAGGTGTCAGATCCCTTGGAACTGGACTGACAGAATTGTGAGCCATCATGTGGGTGCTGGGATTTGAACCTAGGTCCTCCGGAAGCGCAGCCAGTGCTCTTAACCAGTGAGCCATCTCTCCAGCCTTGAAATTGTATTTTATTGTTTTGGGTCAGGATATCAGTATATAGCTCTGGCTGGCCTGGAACTCACAGAAATCCCCATGCCTCTGCTTTCAAGTGCTGGGATTACAGATGTGAGCCACCGAAATCATGAAATTTTCAATAGGAAGATCAAGGGGCCAGAGACATGGTTCACTGGTCAAGGGGACCCAAGTTGGTTCCCAGTACCCACATGGAGACTCATAAGCATCTGCAACTGCAGTTCCAGAGGACAAGACGCCCTCTTCTGGCTTCCATGGGCACTGCATTAAAGCATGCGTGTGTGTGTGTGTGTGTGTGTGTGTGTGTGTGTGTGTGTCGCACCTAAAAATAAAGAATAAAAATAGGGAAGTCAATGAAGTTTTTCTAAGAGTGCTCTTAAGATAGTTCTCTTGCTCTAGACACCTCCCGAGTCTAGGCTTACATGAGTTCTTCCTTGGCCGACAATACTAAAACACAGAACAAGAAAGTATCTTGGGGGCTGGAGAGATGGCTCAGAGGTTAAGAGCATTGCCTGCTCTTCCAAAGGTCCTGAGTTCAATTCCCAGCAACCACATGGTGGCTCACAACCATCTGTAATGGGGTCTGGTGCCCTCTTCTGGCCTGCAGGCATACACACAGACAGAATATTGTATACCTAATAAATAAATAAATATTTAAAAATAAAATAAAATAAAATGGAACCACTTAATTTATTTAAAAAAAAAAGAAAAAAAAGAAAGTATCTTGTTTGGTTTGCCTGCTGGGAATTGAACCTAGCATCTTTCTCATGCGGAACAAGTGTGTTGCCAGTAAACTACATCCCCAGTTAAGAAAGTCGGGGTGTTTTGTTTGTGTGTCCCTACTTTGTAGACCAGGCAGCTGCAAACTCACAGAGATCGTTTGCCTCCACCTCCCCGGAGCTGAGATTAAAGATGTGCACCACCCCCATCTGGCTAAGAAAGTTATTTTTTTGTTGTTATTTTTTTAAGATTTATTTATTTATTATGTATACAATGTTCTGCCTCCATGTATGCCCGCATGCCAGAAGAGGGCACGAGATCTCATTACAGATGGTTGTGATCCACCATGTGGTTGCTGGGAATTGAACTCAGGACCTCTGGAAGAGCAGTGACTGCTCTTAACCACTGAGCCATCTCTCCAGCCCCGAAAGTTGTTATTTTTTAATGCACAACTACCAGTACAGGATAGCAGCCCCTAGAAGTGGGGTGTCACTCTTTTCTTCCTCGTCTGTGAGACAGGGCTCCTCAGCAGGAGAGTTCCTATTTCAAAAGGGTCTGAGTGGTAGTCAATAAAATCAAAATTCGCACAATGTGTGAAGCCTAACACATAACACATTCAGTAAGTGTTTTTGAATGTTGGCAACCATTTTATGCTTCTACTTCCAAAAGATACCAAGAAGTCAATATTTAAAGTTAGGGTCATTTATTGGGGCAGATGGGAAATGGGGGACAGTCTTCAGGGTTTGAGAAAAAGCTTAGCGCAGAGAAGCCCATCCTGGGAGAAAGAACAGACCGCCAGCTTGCCAGCTTGTGAGGTTGTAAGGGGGTTCCCAGGGGAATGGTGAAGGAAAGGTAGTCCCCAAGAGCACCCCAGCGGGGCCGGTAGATCTGGAAGATGGTGATCCAGGTGGTGAGAACAATTACCCAGAAGAGGAAGCCCACAGCTGAGCGCCAAACATCTATAACGAAGAACAAGGGTAGGAAGAGTTGTCCTCCCCCAGGCCCGCCTTTTTATCTCTGCCACAGATCTCCCAGAGGTCTGGAGCCTCCACCGTCCTTCCAACCACCCGCTACCCTGTTGGTTTTTTGCTGGTGCCCTAGAACTCACAGCCTTTGATTTGGCTCTGCTCTGTGTAGGCTGGGGCGAGGAAGGCCTCTCTGAAGAACCAGAAAATGTTGACCAACCAAAGAAAAGGCAGGAATGCAAAACCACCTAGGAAAAAAATAGCCACACTTGGCCAACCAGCAATGAGGACCTTCCCTAATCCCCACCTTAAAAGGCCCATTTAGAAGGGCCTCTCCCAAGTCCAACCGGAGATCTTCATATTCTTTCTCTCTTGGGACTCAGAAACTGAGGCTTCCAGCTTGCTCCTTCCTGAGATCTCTCTTCTCGCGGACCAGAGTCTCCATTCCCAGTTGCGTTACCCCTTAGATCCACAACCCAGGTCCCTATGTCCTCTAGCCTCGGGGCGCTCTAGTCCAGTCCCCTGTATTACCCGAAACCTAGGGGGGGTGGTTGGCCTTACCAAGATAGTACTTCCGGCACAGATTCAACTTCTCCTCATTGGACACCCGCTCCAAGTTCATAGCTGCGCTGGAGCCCGGTGGTCCTAAGGGTCTGCAGACCGAGACCCAAACGACAGGCGCGAGATCACGAACTACCACGCCCCTATTACGACAAATTAGATAAAGGGGGGGGGATTGCTACGAGGAGGGTACCTCTGCGCCCTCGAACAGGCTGGTGCGGAGAAGTTCTTTATCTAGTTAGGGTGCGCGAGACAACCCCCAACTCACCAGTGGAGTTTATCCCTTCTGCTGGGATTCCTTCGTTGTTTTTAACTACGGCCGTTTGCAGGAGACGTCGCAGGTTTCTGTGGAGTTTGTAGTCTTTTTTTTTTTTTTTAAATTTTCCCTGGAGGCTACGTTGTACGCATGCGCTGCTAGGAAATTTGCGCACGACTGTCTGGGAGGACAAGCGGGCCTACAACACGCGTGCGCGGTCGCGGCACAGGCAGGTACAAACTACACTTCCCAACGCTCCTGAGCAACGGAAGTGACGCAAGGAGCAGGCGCGTTGGAGTGTTCGGGTAAAAATGGCTGAATATTTAGCTTCGATATTCGGGACTGAGAAGGACAAGTGAGAATGGTGAAGGGAGTGGCCTCTCAGGGAGCCGGGGCACTTGGGTCCTTATGGGATGGGTGGACAGGGCAGTGTTCGTGGGATGCCCGGCCTTCCCGGCCCTCGGTTTACCTCTGTCTTTGCACCTCTTCCAGGGTTAACTGCTCTTTTTACTTTAAGATTGGGGCCTGCCGGCACGGGGACCGGTGCTCCCGACTTCACAACAAACCGACATTCAGCCAGGTGAGACCCAGATTCGTGCCACTCCGCGCTTCATCTGCTGCCCATCATCCCGAGGCCCCGCCTCTTCCGGATTCCTAAGGCCAATCTCTGTTGCTTTCTGACCTGGCCCTCTGAGTAGACCATTCTCTCGGGGACTGGGCCACACCTCCCATGTGCGCAGGCCACGCCCCTTTGCTGTCCAGGTCGTTTCTTAGGCGCAAGCATCTCTGACAAACTCCAGTGGTTCCCATCTCGGTCCCCAGCCTCACACCCACTCTGCATGCAGCCCTGATTTCTGAGCCCAGGCCTCTTTATTTTTTGTTCAGACCATAGTGCTGCTCAACTTGTACCGAAATCCACAGAACACAGCCCAAACGGCAGACGGATCGCACTGTGAGTAAGAAAACCAGTCAGGTCAGGAGCCGGGCAGACAACCCCCAGCAGTCTACGCCCTCATTTCCCCCTTTGTCCCGCCTCCAGGTCACGTGAGCGACGTGGAGGTGCAAGAGCACTATGATAACTTCTTTGAGGTGAGACTTGCCGGGATAGCTGGGTTCCCTGACCTGGGTGCCAGACCTTAGCTGAGTCTCCGTCTTCTGCAGGAGGTGTTCACAGAACTGCAGGAGAAGTACGGAGAGATCGAAGAGATGAATGTGTGTGACAACCTTGGGGACCACCTCGTGGGCAATGTCTATGTTAAGGTGCCTGTTGCCCCCTGAGTGGCTGATGGCCACCACTGAGACCTCACAGCCTGAGGACTGTCCCCCAAAGATCTTGACTTCCACAGCCCATGGTCATCCACTTTCCCCTCAGTTCCGCCGGGAGGAGGATGCAGAGCGGGCTGTGACTGAACTCAATAACCGCTGGTTCAACGGGCAGGCTGTGCACGCGGAGCTGTCCCCTGTCACTGACTTCAGAGAGTCGTGCTGCCGGCAGTACGAGATGGGGTATGGCAGAAGTAGAGGAGTGGGCTGGGCATCAGAGTTCCAGGCGCTTCAGGATTTGGTAGGGGTTGTCAGTGGTGATGGCCTCTTCTGTCTGTTCTTAGGGAATGTACCCGAGGTGGCTTCTGCAACTTCATGCACCTACGACCCATATCCCGGAACCTGCGCCGGCAGCTCTATGGGCGAGGACCCAGGCATAGGTACCTCAGGTTCAGCTTGCCAAGTTCTCCTATACCTTGAGATGATTCTGATTTTGTGGGTATACCATTTCAAGGCTCTTGTGATATATATATAGTTTTGAACCCTGCCTGGAGAGCATTACCAGTAGGTGGAGTTTTCCTGTCCTGCAGCCGCTCTCAAATAAACACTGAGGTTATATTAATTACAAATGCTCAGCCAGTAGCTTGTGTTTGTTACTAACTAGCTCTTACAACTTAACCCACTTCTATTAATCTATGTGCTGCCTCATCTGACTGATAACCCCTGACTCTGCCCTCCCATAGCCCCTCATTCTCAGTTTCGCTTTCCTGCCTAACTTGGTCCTGTTCAGCTATTGGCCAGTCAGCTTGTTTAGCAAACCAATCACAGTGACACAGTGTAAAGGATTATTCAAATACCTTCGTCTCAGTGCCCCAGACAGTGTGTAGTCCAAACCTAAGACCAGCCTGAATACTACCCCTGAGTACCTGAAGTGACGTTAACAACCATCCTATGCCTGAGAGAGCAGCCTGGGGAAATCTTCACACCATTCCTAACTTTCCTACCCATCTCTGTCCACACCTCTTCCCACTTCCCAGGTCACCCCCAAGATCCCATACAGGCCACCGTCCCCGAGAAAGGAACCGGCGCCGTTCCCCAGACCACCGGCATGGTCGCTTCTGAGACTGGTGCTCCTGTTCCTCACCCAAGGGCAGAGACGTTCCTGTGCAGGGTCCCTTCTCAAAGCCCTCTTCACTCCAGCTCCATCCCAGGCTTCAGAGCTTCACGGTGTAATCTGCTCAGCAGAGGAACTTGCTCCTCCCATCCCTCCTCTAATAAAGCTTTAGACTTTGAGTGTGTGGTTTCTTTCCACCCCCACATCTAAGAGAATGTGTACACCAACCACGGGCTCAGCAGAGCAGCTTGGAACCAGCTGTGAAAGGAGGCTTTGGGTCTGGGTCTGCACCGGTAAGTTGGGACTGCTTTTGTACCCAAAACCTTAGATTCCCCTTTCTAGGTGCCTTTTAGGGAGAGGTCCCCGATTGTGGCAGGTTGGAGGATTCCTAACAGATGGGGGATGAGAAAAGGAGAAGAGGCGTGGCTCGGACCGTGAGTCCGAAGTTAGGCCTGAACACTGAAGCCCACCACACCACCCTGAGTGAAAACCCTTTCAGAGCTTGGAAAGCTTTGGCCATCTAGTACTGTGGGGTTTGGTTTGTGGTTTGTTTCAATTGGTTTTGGGTTTGTTTTTGTTTTTCAAGACAGAGTTTCTCTGTGTAACAGCCCTAGCTGTCCTGGAACTAGCTCTGTAGACCAGGCTGGCCTCAAACTCAGAGATCCACCTGCTTCTACCTCCTGAGTGCTGGGATTAAAAGGCTTTAATTGGTTTTTGAGGCAAGGTCTCACCGTGTAACTATGGCTGGCCTGAAACTCTCCCTGTAGACCATGCAGGTCTCAAACTCAGAGCTCCTTCTGCCTTTACCTTCCAAGTGCTGGGATTAAGGGTATGTGCCCCACACACCTGACTACTGGGATGTTTTTAGTAGCCCCCCCCCACACACAAGGCCTTCACCTAGTCAGACAGAGAAGACAATGAGAAGGCAGATGTGTGAGGATGGATAATCTGACCATCCACATCAAGTTCTTTTTAGGCCTGTGGGCCTGGAGTTGGGTATGGGGCAAACCAGCCCTCAAAGAGGCCCCACCTAGAATTCTGCACCCCTACACCCACCACTTCCTCCTGCCCTGGACTTCCTGGAAAGTGCTGCAGAAGCGGTGTGGATGGAAGAAAGTCCTGTGGTCACAACCCACAGGTTACAGGCTCTGCTGAGATGGGGCCCAGATGTATATTCTGGACAGCCACAGTGGCCGTGCTGCTGCTGATTCGAGCTGCCTCGCGGGAAGTCTCTTGGTTCTGCGGCCGCCTTGAGTACTGGAACCCTGACAACAGGTGCTGCCGGAGCTGCCTGCAGCGCTTTGGGCCTCCTGCCTGTCCTGGTGAGCACTAGATAGTACCGAGATAAGGGGCGTTAGGAAGTGGCTAGGTTCTTGCTGGACATGGCAGTGGGGCTTGTTTGAAAGCGCTGGGTCTTTGGCAAGTAAAACTGGGAGGATAGACTGAGCCTGTGCAGAAAGGATAGGTTAGGAGGGGGACACAGCGAATTTTACCTGTGAGTGGGGAGAGAGGGAGAAAGGGCTTATGTAGATTTTACAATGTGGGCAGGACTTGGTAGAGTGGGTGGGGAAAGGGGTGGGTTTTCCTGTGGATTTGAAGGGAGAGGGCCAACTAGCGTTGGAGAGAAGACCTGTGGGCAGACGTGCCTCTAGAGCCCATATGTCCTACTAGACTACGAGTTTACAGAAAACTGCGGACTCAATGACTTCGGCGACACAGTAGCACATCCTTTCAGGAAGTGTTCTCCTGGGTATTGTAACCCCAATGGCACAGAGCTGTGTAATCCCTGTAGCAGCGGAACCACAACCCCCGCACGTATGGAGAGCCACAGTAGAACTCAGAAGCAGTGTAGAAAGGTGCTTGATGCCTGGGCTCTGGGACAGGGATTGCCTGAGGTAGCTGTGGGCTGCTGTGGGTTCCATGAGCAAAGCTTGGGTCAGTGGGGAAGCCTCACTCAAGAGGGTGGGGGAGCACAGCAGAATCCCCAAGTGCAACGCCTTCAGTGGGTGGAAGAGGTGGGGGCAGGAGAGGTAGATCCATTTAAGGGCCTAAGGGGTGGGTGGGAAGCTTGGCCGGGTGGGCCCTGTTTCACTCTCAAACCCCTATCCTCAGAAGCCCATCCCTCCCAAGGAAGTCTGTCCTCTGACAGCTGGAGAAGCAGGGCTCTCTATCTCCCTGGATCAGGGACAGACAACCAAGAACAAGGTCTCCAAGCCCGGCTTTGCTCCACTCTCAGTGCTGACCCTCTTCCTGGTGCTTCTGTTCTTGGTAGTGGTCTTGCTCTCTTTGTTCAAGAGAAAAGCCTGCTCTCATCCCTGTCTCAGCTTGGCTTCTGGAGGCCCCAGCACCTCCGCACACTGGTGTTCTCCAGGCACCCTGGAGATGTTGGGAAGTAGGAACACCGGCAAGACACCACAGCTGCAGCTCTCAAGCTGGGGTTAGTAGGGGACAGCCCTGCCCAGGAGGGAAGGTGACCTTGAAGCTTGTCCTTCCTCCCCTTCACTACCTGCGTGGTTTTCCAGAGCTTCAGGGCCTGACCTCACAGCCCCTGTCTCGCCTCCTGGATGAGCTGGAAGTTCTGGAGGAACTGATTATGCTGCTGGACCCTGAGCCTGGGCCCGGCGGGAGCATGGCTTATGGTACCACACGACACCTGGCTGCAAGATACGGGCTGCCTGCCACCTGGTCTACCTTTGCCTACTCACTGCGGCCCAATCGCTCACCCTTGAGAGCCCTGATTGAGACGGTGGTGGCAAGAGAGCCATCTGCTACTCTGGGACAGCTTGGCATACACCTGGCCCAGCTAGGGCGGGCAGACGCACTGCAGGTGCTATCCAAGCTTGGCTGAGTCGGGGTTTGCTGGAGCTTACTGCTCTCAATAAAGTTTCCCTTGAAGCTAATGTCTGCTGCTCATTAAAGGAGTCTTCTTGGAATATAATCCTGGTGGGGCCCCAAGCCAACAGCCTTCTTTCCTGTAAAGGGTCCATTCCAGTATAAACAGGAGGACCTGCATGAACCTGGCTACTCCTGGAGTTATCTGTCTGCACTCAACTTGTGCATGAAGCCGGGCAGTGGTGGCGGACGCCTTTAATCCCAGCACTTGGGAGGCAGAGGCAGGCGGATCTCTGTGAGTTCGAGACCAGCCTGGTCTACAAGAGCTAGTTCCAGGACATGCTCCAAAACCACAGAGAAACCCTGTCTCGAAAAACCAAAAAAAAAAAAAAAAAAAATTCAACTTGTGCATGAAGGCAGAAACTAGCACACTAGCTCTGACATCTCCGCAGACCCCGATTTTGAGGCTGCATCCCACAAAGTCCAGGATGGCCTGGAACTCTGTATGATACTGAAGATGACTTTGAGTTTCAAGAATCTGGGACCTCCATCTGCCTGCCTTTACTTACCAAGTGCACATCACCTTGTCAGTTTCCACAGTGCTGTGGATCTCTTATATGATATGCAAGTACGGTATCAACAAGGTTGTATTTCTAGCCCTGCCACCCTAATCAGAACTGGTGGCCTCATTGGCCACTGTGGCTTTCTTGGTTACAAGGGTTAAGAGCTCCCATCTGCCTCCAGCACCATACAAATAAAAAGACCAGGGCTGGCAAGATGGCTCAGTGGATAAAATGGCTTACCACACAAGCTCGAGGACCTGAATTAGATCTCTGAACAGTCCTCTGACGTCTATGGGCATGAGACAGCATATGCACACACAACAACCACAACAATAAAATCAGGGAAAGACCACCTCTCCAAACATTGACAGACTTTATTGAGGGGGGGGAATTCCCACCTGGGACCCCACCCTCTTAAATAAAAAAGTGCATAGAAAAGAAGGGATTTAGAAACCTTTGTACAATATCTACATCCTGGGTTCCCAGGGCAGGAAAAGAGACGATGGCTGGGTGGGCTGGAGGCAGGGCTCCTGCCCGCTACATGCCCACATCCACCATCAACAGGAGGGTAGGAGTGAGACACTGAGAGACTAGGGAGCCACAGGCCAGGGTGAGATGGCAGCGGGCACATAAGGAATCTGGGGCAGCAACGGCCTCAGTTAAGGAAGCGACGGCAGCGCTTGGCGCCACAGTTGCAGGGCAGCTTGTTGCTGGCATCCTCGATGGGAAACTTGTAGTCATAGGTGAGCTCCTCACCTCGCAGGATGCGGCGCAGGGCAAAGATGACAATGTGTTTCTGGCCTTCCACATGGATGACACGAGAGAAGCAGTTGGGCTCACATGAGTGGTTGATAAAGCGAGCAGCATTGCCGTGCATGGTGGCATCTACCACATCAAAGTCATCCATGCGGAACATGTAGCACCCAATACCCTACAGAGATGGAACAAAGGAATTCGCTTTCTGCACCTGCAGGTCAGCCAACACTCTCTTCCCTCATTCATACCCTTACGGCACTTACCTTTCCATCATAGAACTTCTCTCGCTTGTCAGTCAGCACAGAGCGAATGACAATGCCAGAATACTCAATGACCATCTCACCAGCATCGATGTTGCGTTTACAGAACAGGCCTCGTCCATGGATAGCTGATCTACAGGGTAGGATGTGCCATGAAAAATCAGGGGGCAGGGGGACAGACACCAGGCAGCTCCCCATCACGGCATCTATCCATCTACCCAAGGGGCACCCCCCCCAACCCCACTAACCTGTAGACACCCACAGCCTCTTTGGATGTCTTTTTGAGATGGCGAAAGCGCATGGCCATGGGAAGCTCCAGGCTGGTGGCACGTCTGGTAGGGTAGAGCAATACCACATAAGTTGATATCCAGTAACAGCACCCTCTTTAGGACCCTTTCAGACCAGGCCCAGTACTCCCTTGCTCTGCACACCTGGTGGACCGAAGCTGCACCTCATCCTCTTCTTCATCGCAGGTGGCCCCCTCAGGGAGCACCCGATGTTGGGAAGCCAGGAAGTTGAACATGTCAAAGGTACACTTCCTGAAAGCAGGAGGAAGGTAGGACGGTCACAGTCGTGCCTTCAAAGAGATGCTGCCTAGCCATTTTTGATCTGGGCCAGTATCGCCAAGGACTATAGGGCTGAAGACAGCATAGAGGAGGTGGGTGGGGGTCCATTCTTCTGACATTAAGTCTACAGATTATTCTTCAGTGGCCTACGGTCTCAGTTTCATCTTTCTAGACTTAATTCCAAACTACTCACCGGAGATAG